GTTAGTTAGTTAGTTAGTTAGTTAGTTAGTTAGTTAGTTAGTTAGTTAGTTAGTTAGTTAGTTAGTTAGTTAGTTAGTTAGTTAGTTAGTTAGTTAGTTAGTTAGTTAGTTAGTTAGTTAGTTAGTTAGTTAGTTAGTTAGTTAGTTAGTTAGTTAGTTAGTTAGTTAGTTAGTTAGTTAGTTAGTTAGTTAGTTAGTTAGTTAGTTAGTTAGTTAGTTAGTTAGTTAGTTAGTTAGTTAGTTAGTTAGTTAGTTAGTTAGTTAGTTAGTTAGTTAGTTAGTTAGTTAGTTAGTTAGTTAGTTAGTTAGTTAGTTAGTTAGTTAGTTAGTTAGTTAGTTAGTTAGTTAGTTAGTTAGTTAGTTAGTTAGTTAGTTAGTTAGTTAGTTAGTTAGTTAGTTAGTTAGTTAGTTAGTTAGTTAGTTAGTTAGTTAGTTAGTTAGTTAGTTAGTTAGTTAGTTAGTTAGTTAGTTAGTTAGTTAGTTAGTTAGTTAGTTAGTTAGTTAGTTAGTTAGTTAGTTAGTTAGTTAGTTAGTTAGTTAGTTAGTTAGTTAGTTAGTTAGTTAGTTAGTTAGTTAGTTAGTTAGTTAGTTAGTTAGTTAGTTAGTTAGTTAGTTAGTTAGTTAGTTAGTTAGTTAGTTAGTTAGTTAGTTAGTTAGTTAGTTAGTTAGTTAGTTAGTTAGTTAGTTAGTTAGTTAGTTAGTTAGTTAGTTAGTTAGTTAGTTAGTTAGTTAGTTAGTTAGTTAGTTAGTTAGTTAGTTAGTTAGTTAGTTAGTTAGTTAGTTAGTTAGTTAGTTAGTTAGTTAGTTAGTTAGTTAGTTAGTTAGTTAGTTAGTTAGTTAGTTAGTTAGTTAGTTAGTTAGTTAGTTAGTTAGTTAGTTAGTTAGTTAGTTAGTTAGTTAGTTAGTTAGTTAGTTAGTTAGTTAGTTAGTTAGTTAGTTAGTTAGTTAGTTAGTTAGTTAGTTAGTTAGTTAGTTAGTTAGTTAGTTAGTTAGTTAGTTAGTTAGTTAGTTAGTTAGTTAGTTAGTTAGTTAGTTAGTTAGTTAGTTAGTTAGTTAGTTAGTTAGTTAGTTAGTTAGTTAGTTAGTTAGTTAGTTAGTTAGTTAGTTAGTTAGTTAGTTAGTTAGTTAGTTAGTTAGTTAGTTAATAAACGTTTTAATATTCATTATGAAATCATTCCTTGATAAAATTGTACATAAATTTAATGTTTGAGTAGGACTAAAACTGAAAACTCTCGGTGATGGAATGTTCTACGGAGTTTGGATTAAAATTGTTTTGTTAGCCGTTGATTCTACGCCAGTGGGTTATCGTAACTTATCGAAATAGAGTGTGTTAACTAATAATATCGATTAATTAACATGTACATATTTTTAAGTTAAAATCTTTTCCTGAGGATATTGAATGAAAACTTGGTAATTTACAGGAAAATTAAATTTAGCTTTGCCTAATAATTAATTAAGATCTACAAGTTTACGGTACTTTATTCTGTTGGCTCAACAATCCTTACATTTCAGATTAATTATTTTTATTTTGTGATATTTAATATCAATTATTTTAATCCTGACAAGAATACCAGATGTACGTAACAATAGTATTTAATAAAAAATGTTCAGTTCGTTTTTCACCTTTACAACTATTGTAATTTGTAGTTTATCCCCTAGCGAATAAGATAATATAGTGAATTTTATCTAATGAGACCAAACCCATTTCCAAGTATCTTAAAAGAAAGCGGGAAGGGAGCAAGACCACACCACCGTAAAGAACCGACAGAAAGAGGAAAATGGCCATCACCTCCATTTCCGGCAGTTATGCAACTGTCGTCAAGATGGAGCGGGTTGCGATCTTATCCAAGGGGTTCCCTGAGACTATCCTCAGTACGTACACCAAACCTTACTAGAGGAATCGTTAGTGGAAGAAATGTTCTCCGAGTGGGAGCACAAGCCTCAATTCGGAGGCATTCACTTTCGACCAGGTATGGTACTAATCGACTGTGAATCTCCACAGTTAGCAGAGTGGCTCAGGGTTAAAATCCCACACTTCAGTAACTGTAAGGGAGTTGAGCTGGAAGTATGTGCGGGAGACGACATCCCGAAAACACATACTGCCACACTCTTTCTCTCTAGAAGTCAAGGGCAAACTATAGAGAAGCTTCTGCAGTTAATAGAAGAACATAATGTGGGTCCATCGACTAAGTTGTGGAAGATCTTCAGTAGGAGAAACGAGGGCAAGGCCAAATCCTCAGGATATAAATAGATGACCTATCCTGCTAGAGGATCAAGGATAATGGATATACTATTCATTATCGGTTCGGAAAAATCCCCGTACATGGTCTTCAAAGGAAAGATGAAACAGAAGAACCAGAAGGACACACGGAAGCAACTCCCGGTACATCCAACGATGAGAAGGACACAGAAAATTGAGAGCCTTAACCTCTCAACTCTCTACCCAGACTCAGAGGATATAGTAATCGAAGAAGAAGAAACAGAAGAGGGGACATGGAACACACCCTCATCAGTGGTGAGGACACCCTCATCGATGAGAAATAAAATGGAGGACATTAACATCGCCTAAGTGAATGTCCATCACGTCAAGGGAGCATCGGTTGTGATCTCCAGGACATTCACTAAAGACCAAAGGGATCGTACTGATCCAGGAACCGTGAGTCTACGGAAACCAGGTAAGAGAACTTGCATGTGAAGATGCAAGGGTAATTTATCACACTAGTGATGAAATACCCAGAACATGCATTGTGGTAAAAAATAATATTAAATATTCTTGTCTTTCAGAATTCATGACGCCTAATCTAGTCCCAATTCGAGCATACCTCGAATTTCGGATGAGGCGGCAAGATATAGTAATGGCTTCTAGTTACATCGCCGGAGATGGGCCTGTACCATCCCTGGAGAAGAAATCTGCCATTACTTCTTGGATGCGACGTCAACGCGCACAGCACCATATGGGAAGCAACGACACCAATCAAAGAAGTGAGCATATTTTTAATTCCTTATTTTGCAAAATATTGGGAATATTCCAATATTTTTAACAAGGGCAAGAAGTGAGGTATTGTATATCACGTTAAGTACACGAAGCATTAAAGATCTAGTTACAAACCATAGAGTATCGAGTGAACCATCTCTATCTGACCACAAGATAATAGTGTTTACATTAGAGTGCGACACTCCCTGAGACGATCCTTAGGAGGAATCCTAGAAAACCAGATAGGGATAAATACAGCACCATTGGAAAACAAAATTTAGCACTTATACAGACAAAAAAGGGGACCAGGTACCCACTTGCTCTGGAAATGAGGCAATACTTGAGGCATATGAGTCAAGCTGCCCAATTCAAATAAATAGAACTAGTAGGAATGCTCCTTGGTGGAACCGTCACCTGTCAAACTTACGATCCGAAGTGCGGAAGCTTTAATAGGACCAAGCATAGCGGAAATAGGCAGAGCTACACCGGAGCACCTATAACAAAGAAATCCGGAAAGCTAAACGTAACAGCTTCAGAAAACTCTGCGAGAAGATTAACTATATACCTGCAGCAGCGATACTGCACAAAGCCCTAGCAAAAGGGAAAGTTAAAGAAACCAAATGAGAGCTTCATGGAGAGTGAGGAGGAAAGAGCTCGCCTTTTACTCGAATCTCACTTTCCTGGGAGCACACCTTTTCTAATAAGGGACACAACTAAGGTAAGAGACCCCCAAGAGAGGCCAGTGTAGTAGCCAAACACATATGCAGCAGCAATCGGTTAAAGTTTGCCGTAAACACTTTTGAACCATTTAAGATGTTGCCGTGAGGTGGGACGAAGTATAAACCCCACGAAAACAACACTAGCAGCCTTTTCAAAGAAAAGAAAACTCGATCTCAAAACCATAAAATTGGACGGGATAGATATAGAATGGAAAAATGAAGTAAAATATCTAGGCCTAACCCTGGATAATAAACTTCTCTGAAACTTACATGATAAGGAAGTAGTAAATAAGGCCACAAAAGCCCTAATGGTGTGCAGAAATATTGCGGGTAAACGGGGGGATGTAGCCCGTACAAACTGCGATGGATGTATACTGCAATAGTGAGACAAATCATCACTTATGGGCCTATAGCCTGGAGTAACAGAACTAGTTTAGCTACTACGAGAGCTAATATCTCCAAAGTACAAACACTAGCCTGTGTTTGCATCACCAGTGCAATGAGAACCTGTAAAAAGAAGCGGATGATTAAAACGCACCTATTAAAAATATTGCGCCAAAATGTAGGCAACACGTAATAAGGGTTCAAAATGGCGGAGTTTTCTATCTCCTTTTAAAAGGCACTCAGAAAGTTGCGCAGTGCGACCATTCTCCGTATAGTAAAAGAAAATCAAAGTATGTGTACTAGGATTATTTATGGTTATAATTCGATTTTGACTTAACTTAAGGCTCTAAAGTTTCAAAATTACATAAGGAAAATATATTTGCATCCTTAATGCCAGTTATTGTCAGTTTAATGTAATTTTTCTCGTTGCAGCTATTATAGTTGTACAGTGTTTTTTAGGAAAGTACGGAATTAATTTTGAGGTGTGACAGCAGTGTAGTAGAAGTAAATATTGATTAATTCATAAAACGCATGCTCGCTCCTCAGATAAGCATACTAGCACATACCATCCCCACTCAAATTAGCAGCCTCGTTATTTTTAATGCGGCAACTGATGCGACAGCTCTGTCTGCATAATAATAAACACAATCTAAATGATTACAATAAAAAAGGGCTTAATAATGAATAAATGGATTAGTCTAGTAGTTTTTCGTCGTTGTTACATACTTATCTAAAGTTTTTTACAGTGTTTGATATGATTTGCTTCTTAAAAACTAGCAAAAATTGTTATTTCGGGTACTTATCTTAGTTGGTCTAACTCTATGCAATAGTAACTTAAAGGTTTTCAATCCCTTAATTTTTTCACGACTTACTTTTTTGCTTTAATTTTTTTTCATTAAAATAATCTGTTTTTTTTTTTTCAGGCGAGCCCCAACTCTGTTTCCACTTCTGAGGGAGGATTATATGAGTGCGGTTAATTTAAATTTAATTTAAATTTAACTTCCATTTTTTATAACACAGCTCAAAAATATCGTGATGGTGAAGTGAACTTTTAATTTTAACATAATTTACTGCGAAACTCTGTTATGTTTAAGCTGAACAGACTATATTGTAAAGTTACTTAAGATTTGTGGTATTTTGTATAAAAAAGGGAAAAATTTTACAAAAAATAACTATACATATTACAAAATGCTATTTTATATATCGTCGAAAATATTTTTCGAGTTTCAGTAATTTATAAAATTCGTTTTCAAACAAATTATAAATTGGTAATTTTACAATATAACATTTTACAACAAAGCTGGAGTTATAAATTATTTTTTCAGTGATAATGTTCACAATAAGGTCACTTCCCGTCTCACTGAGATTTCCAAATGTTCAATATGTTTAAATTGCAAGTCAAAAATGTTTTGCATATTACATATTACCCGAAATGCTAGAGAATATTAACTAAATTGCACAAACTCAAAAATGTTTTGCATATTACCTGAAATGCTAGAGAATGAGTGCTAAACATAATTTAAATATCATATTGCTAAACATACCTTAATACGCAAAACATTTTTGGGTGTGCTTGCCTAGAGTTCGTTTGCTTTAAGAACGAGCCAAGCACGTCATCAATAATGCCCCGCCTACTGCCGTTAAATAGGTAGAGCACTGTCATTACTATTTTTCTACCAACGGCAAAGAAAATTCATAGGCGTACCTACATTTCGTTTGTTACGATTTAAGATTTAATTTATTTCTTTTTGCGAATTGAAGTATAGTTTACCTAGATCTAGTTTTTTTTTCATGTAAAGCTTGTACCTAAATGTATTGGTCGAGGTAACATAGATTTCTCACTGTGTACTATATAGTATATAACATAATAATATTAGATAAACTTTGTATAGGCCCTTGCTTTCCTATAGATGAGCGTGTCCAATTAAAAATTCGATGAAGTACCTAGTCTGTTCTTAAAGCAAACGATGTCTACCTAATACATTTAAAAAGTATTGTATGATGTATGTATTTATTTTATGACTAAAAATTTTGTTTGCTCACTAGACCTAACCGTGACCTGATTGAAACCATACCGAAACATTACAAATAATGAGTATAAGAATAATTTCTTGACCGTAGCAGAATTTTATATAAATAAAAATTTCCTTGGTTTATTCGGTCTTTGTTATTTTATTATTTTCAATTATCAAACAATTGAAAATAATAAAAAAAAAGACCGAATAAACCAAGGAAATTTTTATTTATATTACAAAAATTATTGTTTAGGTATATGACAACGCTCACTACACCCTTTTGCAACCGAAATAGTATGTTGCCTTGTTAATTATTCAAATGGACGTATCAACAACAGTAATTTCGAGAAAAAAAATTTGCCAAGCTTTTTAAAAAATACTGTCAAAGTGAAATTCATAGATGGTTGGTGTTATGCAATAATAAGTCGAACCACCACCAAGAAATTAAACAAAGTGGTTAAAAAAACTGTAGTAATTGAACGGAGAGATTAAGCTAGTGCGTTTTTGAGTATTAAAATTGTTGTGTTTGTGTTTTTTAGGGAAATTAATTTTAGTATTTCATCGTTTTAACGAACTACGGAAAAATTTAAAAAATGTGGGTTAACTCATTTTTAGTAGGTAGTCGTTTTATTCAAGAAAAAGAAAATAACAATGACAGTATTTTGTAGAAAGTGTATCATTAATTTTTCTCAAAATGTCTGTCTTTTAATAAAATATTTACATTCAAGAAACCAAAATTGTTAATATTGTACCTAATTAAAAAAAAATTGTACCAGAATCATTTCTCATCAAATTTTAAACAATTTTTAAAAATGTCTGTCCGACGTCACGTTTTTTGTCGGCACGATAAGACAAAAGAGAAATATGAAAATTGAATATTTCAGGAAAAATTAAGGTCTATAAGAGGATGAAGCCCATTGATTTAAAAAAAAAGGCTGAATAAAAATGGGGCGACTAAGGGGGAGGGTTGAAATATTAAAAAAAAATCCTAAATCAAAAACGAAAAATTACAAGTTCAACTTGAAATTTTAAGCAAAAATCAAGCTCTATAAGGGAATTTTGAATAATCTGATAAAAAATGGGTAATTAAGGAGGGTTCAAATTAAAAAAAAAATCGGAAAGCGATTTCAACATGAAATTTTTAGTAAAAATAAGCTCTATAAGAAGAAAAATTCTGATTAAAAATAGAAGGGGTTAAGGGGGGGTTGAAATATTTAAAAAAACTCAGAAACCGAAAACGATATCATATTGAAATCTTCAGGAAACATCAAGCTTCATAAGGGGATGAAGCTTATTGATTCTGAAAAAATATGATAGAAAATGGGGGTTAAGGAGGGTTCTGGTAAATTGTGCAGAGTATAATATAGAATGACAAGCGTTATATCTTAATTCTAGTAATGCTAACTACCGTATCTAGTGAATTGTGGATTGATCCATTATTGTTGAATCCTCAATGTAACTTTATGTTTTGGTGGGTTAACATTCATGCCAATAGATGGCTCCACAGTCTAGCTATGGGTTAAATCATTTTAGATTAATGTGGAGTGATATATAGCGAACACCCAGAGTGACTCATTATTATCTAACACCATCCAGATTATATTAGTTTTTAAAGTTGAATTCATATATACATGTTTTCAGGACATACACTGGTCGGTATAGTTATTGTTACGATAGTTTATTTTAAACAACAGTTTATTTGTTAATAATTTATTTGAACACTTATTTATTTGCAATCAATACTATTCTAATTTATATATTTCGAATGTCTTTAAATTGTTCACTATTTATCTTTACAACTGTTTGTATACTACTAACTGCTCCGTGTTCCTCCACCAATATTTATATACACATTTAAAATTTTGGCGAAGATACTAGAATGTTCTCACCAATTCTCACCAACACTAGTAACATTATCACGTTCAATCTGGAATGTACTCGAAAGCGCCTTCGCCATAGTCGTCACATATGTTTGGTCTTAGGGGGTTTAATTATGTATGATAATCGGACAAGTTGAGCCTCAAAGGCCAAATAAGACAGAGGGACTTGGAGAATTAGAGCATAACTGAATAATAAAATGGCTCGCATTACATTGCCCCCTCCTTAAGAGATAGTTTCTCCTGGAAATCTTACTAAACTAAAACGGAATGGTTGTATCTGCAACTAAACCTTCTTTTACAATTTCCGGTTGCATGGAAGTAACAAAGGGACTGTCTTTGCTGTAACCTGGACACTGGGCTAATGGCTGCATACCAGTATTTGGACTCCGGTATCTTGAAAGATTACTTCCACCATGTTCCTAGTGATCCTCCATTCCAGCTGATTTCCTTCTACCTTCGGCATGGCTAGTTTCTGTACCTTGGACTCCAGTACGTGCTCCCTCAGACTAAGTAATGCTCTCCATACATCATAATAAGTTGATCGATCTCGGAAGGTATTCTTTGTTACCAGATAGAAAAGGTAGCGCGATTCGTCTTGAAGTTTCAAGGCTTTTCCAGGGGCTGGTAACTAACATTGAAGTTCTACCAGTCGACCAAACTCCTTACGGAACACATATGCCAGTCCTCGCGCGTCGTTGATGCTGGCGGAAGTACTATGGACCAGCGAGTAGTCTTTTGGAAGCGATAGCAGGTCTTGTTGTTGCTTGGTCGTAACACCATAATATCTGGCTTTTCCAGTACCTCCCTGTGCACCCATAAATTCTTCAAAGACAAGGTCAGGTGTTTCTTGAAGTTGGTTTACTTCTTCTCCATGGTCACCCTCAAATGGCGCCAGCCTGTTTTAATGCACTATCTTCGGTTTACCGTTTGGGATCTTACTTGTGCGGTAAACTACATCATTTATTTTATTCTTGATGAGCTACAGACTTTTGAAGCTTCGGAGAATAACCCTTTTGTCTTTTTGCCAGACTTTGTTGCCTTCTTTGGAATATCCTTCTGTGGCATGGGTATCGTATCGCTTTTTCATTTTGTCGCTGGAGATTTGAAGATGCGAGCGGACTAATTTATGCATATCGTCCATTCTTCTTCGTAACTGGATCACATAATCTTCACCAGCTACATCTTCTCCAGGTTGGCATTCAAACTCTAGGTCGCACGGTAGTCTCATCTCACGCCCAAACAGGACCTTTGCTGGTGTTTGGCCTGTTGATTCATTGACAGCGGATCTATAAGCCATTGCAAAGAGCGAAAGATACTGATCCCAATCTCGCTGATGGTTTGAAACCACTTTTGATAGATATTTGCCAATGGTTTTATTCATTCGCTCTACTATTCCATCGGAATGTAGGTGCAATGCTGTGATTCTGGTTTTCTTCATGCCCAGTCTGTCACAGATTCCACGAAAGAGTTGGTTTTCACAATTTCCGCCTTGGTTACTGTGTATCTCCAAGGGCAGTTCAAATCGACTGATAAACTCTTTTATTAACACATCTGCAACAGTATAAAACCTTTCTCGAATTCTCTGAAGGGTTTTCCTAACACCGAGATGTCCTCCTATTGGACTGTCGTGTAACTGACGAAGTACTTCGGCTACTCTACTCTTTGGAATGACCAACTGTCTTCTGTTCTCGGAACCATCATCATTTTCAATTACTCGCTTTAGTAAGCCATCTTCCAGTATAAAAGAGTCACACTGAGCTAAATATGACTAAAGTACTAGAGAGAGATTAGATACTTTTTGCCAACTAGGTCGACGATTTTCCCCTTTCCATTGTCGCATCTTCTTTAGAACGGTATAGTTCTCTTGTTCTTCCTTAATTTTAGCAGTTGTTCTTAGTAGTCCACTTTCTTTGGATTCCGCTTTGTTGCAGTGGGACACTCTGCTGGACACGGTCTTCTAGACAGAAAATCGGCATTTCTGTGACTTATTCCGGCTCGATGTTCAATCTTCAAACTTAAGGACTGCATGATCGATCCGGATTAAAAATTTTCTTCCGTACAGGTATTGTTAGAAGTGTTCCACGCACTTTACAACTGCCAGAAGTTCTCTTCTTGTGATGCAGTAATTTCGTTCAGATTTCGAGAGCACTTTACTAAAATAACCTAGTACTCTTTCTTTCCCTTCCTGAATTCCCACATTACTGGCATCAGTATCCAGTATAAATTCTCCCTCTGGTAGTGGGTAGCCTAATATTGCCTCTTTAAAATTCCAGACAGTGCTCATTACGTACCTTTACATACCTCTAATTTTTTTTGAGGGCCACTCTTGGGTATTCGGACCATCAGGTTGAATAAGAAAAATTAACATACGCAAAAAATATCTCTTAAATATCCTTCAACAATTTTTTTTTCTGGTCAGCATCGCCACTAGTTAGCAACCCTAGAAGGGAGTAAGGAAAATTATAAGAAAAGGAGGACAATATTTTAAAATATTACATGTAAAAAGGCAAGCCAGTTTAAATAAAGGATAAATGACCTAACCGGATTCCTTGAAGGTGTAAAAACCTTAGGAGTGTATTAAACAAGGTTGTGCCCTATTGCTCACCTTTTTTTACTTTATACGGGTTTGGATCGATCAGGTGTAGGCTTCCAGTTGCGGTCGAGCCTAGTGAAGCGAAGACATTTAACATATTAAAAAAGTGGTCTTATTTTTAAACTTATTACAATACTTTTTTTTTCTGCAGTAATTGACATTTTGTTGTGGATTTTAAAAGAAAATTTGCATAAAAGTTTAATCTTCTCAAAAAATTACTAAAGAGAATGAGAAATGAATAAAACAATTAGAGGAACTGTTCCGAATATGGTCCCCCTTTTTTATTTTCTGAAGTTTCTGACGTGTTTTGAGAACGTAACGTAGTGAAAAATCTTGCAACAACGTTAAGTAAGAGATTTTAAAAACATTTTTGCTTTATTCTAAAATAATTACATTTTACTAGACAAAATAGAAAAAAAATATATGTTTTGGTAAACGGGGCCAGACAGTTTGGAATATGGGCCATATACCAAAGTCAAATTTTAAGCAAAAAATAAACATTTGCACAACAAAAAACATTAAAATTTTTTGAAGGGCTTTCTTGTGGTTCTAGTTCCAGTTCACAAATAGAAGAATTGTTCAGTTACTGGCTGTTTCAGTTGAATCAGTTTTATCTGTAGTACGGTTACAGCGATTTACTGCTTCGTTTTTCTTACGTTTTTGCACACATATTTTCTATTTATGGATGGTCCATGCATTTTTACCAGTAAGAAAGTAAATTAAAATAACTTGATCCTTATATGGCCCCTAGCCCATATTTAAAACCCATGAGGGGGCCCATATTTCAACATGGTTATGATATAATACAAGTAAGGTTGTAACTCAAATTTCTTTAAATAGACCAAAAATCAATTAGAATTATAAAATATATGAGTATCGCAATCGCAATGCACTTAAAAAGGTTTAATTAAACTAACAGAAGTCTAAAAATTATACTTGTAAACTTTATCTTCAATTATTTTTCAAAATAGGCAAAAATACACACAAACATAATCATTTTATTTTTATAAAGCATCGTCCACTTTGTGCTACTTAAAAATAGATGGTGCTGGCTACTTTAAAAATTTACTCTGTGGTCCATGTTAAATGCATGGCCCATATTCGGAACAATATCAATTTATATGAAAATATATAGGTACTTTTTGTTAAATAGATTTTTTATGCAACTTTTTTCTATTAATTATAGCAGATATTATGTATGCACGATTAAAATTATTTTATTTTGACAAACTATTATCTTTCATATTACTTTAAAAACGTAAAAAAGTCTTTATTTTAGTGAGAATGTTCGTTAAAATAATAGTGAAATACTGTTAAGAACTGTGGGTTCAAGCCCGACGTATTGTAAAAGCACGCTGTAAAAATTAATTAAACTTAACTAAGAAACAACTCTGAATCTTGTGTAAAATTTTAATTATTTCTCCATTCTCGACAGTTCAAATCAGGTATAGTTTTTGTTATTGTACATTAAAAAGATAATTTAAAATTAATTTCAGAACTGTATCTTAGCATGTTGTCACTACATCAATTAATGCACGGACCAAGAAGAACATAATATAGAGAAGTTATATAAGAAGTTCATAAAAATCTATGTAAGTGTATATTCAATGTTACTTCATTTTGAAATTTATATATCACAACGAAAACAAAAATCACTTGTATGTTAGAAGCAGGTTGTTTCCAAAAGAAATTTAAAACATTTTAGAATCACCCTGTACCTGGTATTAGAATTAGTAACAATATTTTGGGCTTTTTAGTACCTTTCTAGTAAAAAGTAGTTAAGACAATTAGATACAGAGTGATTCCAAATTCCAATTAAAGATTTAAAATGTGTGTAAGAAATGAACACTCTAAAGTAACAGAAAACCAAAATTGTAAATAGTGAACCCCGAAAAATGTTTCTAAAGTAAGCCACCGAAATGAAAGTCATGTCCTTGATAACTACTTACGCCACTGAATTAAATTAAAAAAGAAGAATTATAAGCTCCAACATGCGTGAATTTTTCCAATGCCAACTTTAGAAACATCTTTTGTCGATCACTTTATAGTTTCTGTATAGGTGCTCAAAATAACTCCGGAGAAATGTTTAATTGGAAATTCTGAAAAATCGTCCTGTATTTGTTATTAGATATTTAAATATATATGGTGTATTGAAAATTATTCAATAAACTATATATAAAAGATTACTACTTACATACCAGTTTAAGTATTAGAAAATTTTATTAAATTAGCAGCTAGTAAAATTAAACAAAACCCAGTGGCTTTTAAATAAATTTGAATGTTTCTTTGTTTGTGGTTTGTGTCGTCACTGTAACTTTTAATACATTTAAAATTAAATAACTGTAAAATGTATTACTTAAATATTGAATGTACTTTTAATAATAAAATATAATCTTAATGTTAAAAAAAAACAGTTGCTCTTTTGAATAGGTACATTTTTAAAATAGGTGTCCATAAATTGCATTTAAAAAAAATGATTCAAAAGCAAACAATTTAAAAAGTACATTGTTTAAACTTACCTACCTATTCACATTCAAAAGAGAAAAACTGTTTCAAATATTGAGAATGTACACATATTTTGGATTATGTGTACCTAAGTATTTGTTTATATAAATGTAACTTTAATCCTTTAATGACCTATGTAGGTACTTATGGTAAAATCAGTATTGTTAAAATAAATGTAATGTACCTAACTAATAATAATCTGTATAATGTGAATGATTAATAAAATTTTAAAAATCCATTTTACTCTTTTTAACTATTAATTAGGTGAAAACAATTCTACCATTTATTCAATTTTGAAGCAAACTCTATTAAGTGTATGTAAAACAGAATGTTCCATTCAAGTTGCATCACATAAAGTCAAAATAAGGTAGTGGCAACAGGAACTATTTCGCTACTTATGTTGCCACTAAAATGCTTAGATACTTTAAAAGTTCCAAGTAAAGACGGCTTCAGGCGGATTTTTTTAGAGTGAGACCATTACCAATAACAATTATCTTTTTAGAGTTTTTAGAATATTTTATTAACAAAAGGCTCATTCATTGATTGTAAGAATTTTAACCTGGAGGGGAGAAAGGGTGTCTGGAGCCGCCTTTGGTTTCACTGGAACTTTTCAGGGATTTTTTTGCTTCTCTATGTACCGAGTTACTTTATTTAGGCATATTTAGTGGCACTGGTAGGTAGCAGTAACTAATTCCCTGATACTAGTTGCCACATTGCCACTAGAGTAGTAACAATATTATATATAAATAAAAATTTTCCTTGGTTTTATCAGTCAAATGTTTTTATTTTTATTGTTTAGCACACTACATATGTTTCGGAAAGTACAAATTTTTCCATCTTCAAGTGCAGTCAATTTATAAAAATTATAGGGACGAATAGTTTAAAATTTTTTAAAATAAAAGAACGTCATCTTTCATTTCACATCGTTTGAAGGTGTAGAGATTCCCTGGCCAATATTTAAATGCCCTATCACAAACGATTTATATTTCGATTGTTTTAATGAGCATCTAAACTTGAACATTAAAGCTTGAGCAGCAAAAGTGTTAAGCATATATTAATAAAATAAAAAACTTAGAATAGAGAACAAAATTAAAACAGTCCAAACAATAGCCTGGTTTTCTTGGGCATTCATTGCAGTATGTTATCCCCTACGAACTTTGGCAGTTTCTCCAGCCGTCAACGTTTTTCTCAATATTTATCTATATTGTTTGCATTTCCTTCGAGTTTGCACAATGAATCTGCTCGTTTACTTGACGGCAATTTGGAACTCTCTGGAAAAAGTTTAGAACCAGAAACTAGACCTACCAATCTTAATGTATTTTGACCTGAATTCGATGCCGCCATCAGAATTTCATTTTAACGTTGGGTTTTGTATCTTAAGATTTCTGTATTAATAATGCTATTTTAAAGACAACTATTTTTCGCAAAATTCTCCAAACATATATAACGTTTCGACATTATAGCAGCACATAATACACACTTAACAATTAAAACGTGCTGAAACAGGTACATACCACAGTCAATTAAAAATGTTATAACATGTGTGAGACAATTTCTATAATGGCATGCGAGACAGAAAGACATTAACACCTACGCATCAACTTACAACCCTATTGCTAAAAATAATGGAAGTTATTAATCCTGCAAGTACTGATGATTTTCCTGTTGCACATAAGTTAAAACGATCGCATGATGAAAACACTATGTGCTGCAACAAGGTGCTAATTTGTTTTTCAAATCAAATATCGGAATCTAGGAATAAACCTTCTATACAATGCAGAGCTCATGCAAACAAAATGACCCTTTATTAATTCACCATTTGACAGAATAAGTGTTGGTAAACACATTTTTGAAGTTCGTATAAAGCCTATATCTTTCACTTTCATCTTTGAATAGCCTATTCATATGAAACTTTGTAGCTTGTAGATTAATGTAATTTTTACTTTATATATTCCAGTAGCAAGCTTTAATTTATACTTATGATAAATGAATTTCATGACAAAGCTTCTAGTTAGTTCACTGTATGGTTCTGAACAGAAAAACATAGTAAAATAGTTTAAAGTAATATTCTAATAAACTATTTTTATAAAAAGAATTTTAATAATAGCTATCTAGTTACAAAAATCCATTTGGCAATTAATTATATTTGCTAGTAATAAATAATTTACATATTTTAAACTAATAACAGGAGTAACACAAAGATGAATTGTCTGTGTAATTTGGAAAGGAACAGTTTTTACAAAAAACTTCATCACAGGCTGTACAAGTATTTGCACAATTCAAACATAATTTTTTATCACAATAATTACATTTTGTTTGGACATCTTTAATCGTAGAACATTGAAAACACATAATTAAACTCTTTTCATCTCCATTTATAGGTAGAAATTGTTTTGAAGATCCCTTATACAAAAGTTGCAGAGTTTTTTCTGATAACAAAGAAGGAATTCCTCTTGATTTATCCAGTGTAATGGTTTGTTTTTTTATATATGGTTCATTTTCTGTAAATGGACAAGTACGTTTTGTCATGGTTATCACACGATATAAATTAAAAAATATACATATACATAAAATATTAGAATTTAGAATGTTCTCAATGAAAAATTAGAAATCATTTAAATAAATTTAAAGGTTATGAGTGTTATGACTTTTAACTGAGTTTGAGTTTGACGGACGAAATTTTGTGACCCTTTTCTTTAAGAAATTAGGCCATCGCTACTGGTCTTACAGGTCCGTATTTATAAACAAAACTCAGCTGAGTCGGACTTGGGTAAAAGTCGCCCTTAAACAAAAATCGAAGTCGGTTATATCCATAAATTACTTGAAGTTAAGCTATATCAAGCTATATCAAGCTAGCGGGCACTCTGTGGCGGCACCATTCAAGACCTGGCGGGTTTTTTGTAGCTTTTTTGTTACACTATTTGCAAATTTGTAGCTTTGCCCAGGTCCGAAAAAACAGCGGATCCGCTAGCTTGAATTTCCATAAATTCCATAGTAGCGGCACAGATTCAGACCCAGCTGGTTTTTCGTAACTTTTTTGTAGCTTTTTTGTTACGTTAGTCTCCCTTTTGTAGCTTGTACTGAACCTGAGAAAAGCGCGGATCCGCTAGCTTAGCGGATATTTGTAGCGGCACCAGCCCGGACCCGGCTAATTTTTTGTAACTTTTTTGTAGCTTTTTTGTTACGCCTGTCTCCATTTCGTTGCGAGGTCTGAACGTGAGTAATAATCGTTTCTCCATGAGGTGAGAGAAAAGTGCGTTAATTTAAAATCAAGTTTCGGCCTATACAAGTAAATATGTGCAACTCGATTATGTGACTATCTTTTGATAGATGGCACACCAGTATTGCATTTCACGAATTATGGACATCTTCCATCCAATATATTTTTGAGAAATTTAGATATAATCTCAAAATCGGACATTTGTTTTTAAATGTTTTTTAGTGTTGTTTATGTACGTATTTATACTTTTGTTGAATCCAGAATATTCTTACATCTTTTTTGAATGATTTCCTTAACCAATTGTTTTGCAGTATTTATGGACCAGTGTTTAATTCTGTCGGATCACAACTATACAGTGTGTTCCATCTCAGACGAGCCACCCCGTATTTCTTATCCCATAGTAATTGGAAAAATTTTCAACGGTATGTATCATAGATAAATTAATAATAATAATAATATTAATTTATCTATGGTATGTATATTAATTATTTGTCCGATATTAATGTAAAATACATATTGGCAAGATTATTAAAATAGTTGTATGCCGGACGCCACTATTTTGCCGATCGGGTGTTTTCGGTTATTTTTAACCGACTTCAAAAAAGGAGGAGGTTCTCAATTCGTCGCGATATTTTTTTTTGTGTATATGTTCAGCGATAATTCTTTAACACGGTGTCCGATTTCAATGATTATTTTTTTGTTAGAAAAGGGATACTTCAGGGGTGGTCCCATATATATTTGGTCAAAATCTAATAATTGGGTCCATGAGAAAATCCTCCAACTCTTCATTTTTTATGTATGTTTAGCGATAATGCTTTACCACCCTGTCCGATTTATATGATTCTTTTTTTGTTAGTAAGGGGGTACCTCGGGGTGGTCCCATATATAAATTTGGAACGTTTTTGAAGTCGGTTTTTTTAAATTTTTAATTTCTAATACTTATTGTTACTGCTAAAAACTTACTGCTAACTTCACACCGGTGGTAATAGCTACCAAGCAATTACCTATTCTCACTATATACAGGGTGTTCCATCTCAGACGAGCCACCCCGTATAGTTATTATCCCATAGTAATTGGAAAAATTTCCTGAAACACATCTGATGATTTTCTTTGGGGGACATCTTTTGACGTATATTTGAGGCTTGAACGAGCAACCCCCTATAAGGGGGCGCTTCAACCCCTCAAAATTGAATAGGGAAGAGGGGTTGGGTGATACTTTATTTGTAAGGTCCTGGAAGCCTCTTTATAACGGTGTATGAAAAAAATCACATTCTTAAAAAAATCAATTGTTTTATCATGCTTACAATCAAAAAAATCAAAACTGCGTTTTTAAATGAAATGTTCAATTTGTCTTCCATTGACTTCCATGCAATAATAAATTCTCTAGAACTAATAAATAAAAAAAAATCAAAACATTTTCTTATCTTACCTTCATTTTTTTGTTCTTCGATCATTTCATGTGATAAAACAATTAATTTTTTTTAAGAATGTGATTTTTTTCATACAAAGAGGCATTCAAGACCTTACAAATGATGTATCACTCAACCCTGCTTCTTCGATCGCCATTCCATTTTGAGGGGTTGAAGCGCCCCCTCATAGGGGGTTGCTGGTTCAAGCCTCAAATATACGTCAAAAGATCGATGTCCCCCAAAGACAATCATCCGACGTGTTTCGGGAAATTTTTCCAATTACTATGGGATAAGAAATACGGGGTGGCTCGTCTGAGATGGAACACACTGTATAGTTGTGATCCGACAGAATTAAACACTGGTCCATAAATACTGCAAAACGATTGGTTAAGGAAATCATTCAAAAAAGATGTAAGAATATTCTGGATTCAACAAAAGTATAAATACGTACATAAACAACACTAAAAAACATTTAAAAACAAATGTCCGATTTTGAGATTATATCTAAATTTCTCAAAAATATATTGGATGGAAGATGGCCATAATTCGTGAAATGCAATACTGGTGCCATCTATCAACAGATAGTCACACTATCGAGTTGCACATATTATTTGTAGAGGCCGAAACTTGATTTTAAATTAACGCACTTTTCTCTCACGCTCATGGAGAAACGATTATTACTCACGTTCAGGCCTCGCAACGAAATGGAGACAGGCGTAACAAAAAAGCTACAAAAAAGTTACAAAAAATTAGCCGGGTCCGGGCTGGTGCCGCTACAAATATCCGCTAAGCTAGCGGATCCGCGCTTTTCTCAGGTTCAGTACAAGCTATAAAAGGGAGACTAGCGTAACAAAAAAGCTACAAAAAAGTTACGAAAAACCAGCTGGGTCTGAATCTGTGCCGCTACTATGGAATTTATGGAATTTCAAGCTAGCGGATCCGCTGTTTTTTCGGACCTGGGCAAAGCTACAAATTTGCAAATAGTGTAACAAAAAAGCTACAAAAAACCCGCCAGGTCTTGAATGGTGCCGCCACAGAGTGCCCGCTAGCTTGATAGAGCCTTGAAGTTATATCGCGTGAATTTAAAGATGGGTAGTAACAAATCCGTAACATAACAGTTATATATTTGCTAATATCAATCTCTAAATTCCAGTCTAACACCAGAACTGACCAGAACCACCTAGAACTTTAGAGATGTTGTAACCGAACTTCGATTTTAGTTCAAGGACGACTTACCCAAGTCCGACTCAGGTAACGGACCTTTTAAAAGAGAGAAACTAACCAAATTTCTTCAAAAAATAGGCCAAAAAAATTAAGGAAGCATATATTTTTTTAAATTTAAAATCTAGAATTATTGCAATTACATTTATAAACTAATTGATTTCCATTGATAAATAAAGGTATTTCTCGAAACCAGAGCAACAAAAGGTTCATAAATTTGCGAGAAAAATGTTTCGATTCAAGACTTGAATCTCGACAAATATACTCGCACTCGTTCCTCTCGGCTATTTATATGCAGCTTGTGATTGTTGGGATGCATTTTGTAACAACCATATAATAAAAAATTCGGAAAAATGTTTTACCCAGAACTTTCCTGGATATAGAAATTGTAAAAACGGAACTCGCAATTAGATATTCAATAGTTAAATAGAAAATAAATTAAATTAAGCACTTATACATTTTAACAATTTAAAATTAAAATCACCACTTTCACTTTCCCTTCATCGATCTTCCTTTTGATCCCACCAGAACTCTCACTTTTTAGCGTCCGTCCGGCTGCTTTTAAAATGGTCCAGTTACACAAACCAAAAGGACGCTTTTTATTTTCATTCAAGGGAGACTTTTTTATTAAATACGATTCCTTTCAACACCATTTTGAATTTTTAAAAATGTATTTAGAAGCTTTTATCTCAGACTTCCAAATTACTCAGATTCCAATTTTAGTCGAAATATACAAACTTATAAAAAATAATTTTTTTTAACTGCTTACCCTGTATACAGGGTGTCCCGAAATTAGATAGTTATATTTTAACAGCGTAATCTACATCCTAAAATAGATGTAAAAGTTCATACATAGGTCCGAAAACGTTTCGTTTTCGAGATACAGGTGACACAAGTGAAGTCCTGATGACACATTTTTGTAAATATTTTCTAATTATTGTTTACCCTTTCGAATAATATAACATCAACTTATCATAAAATTTTCAAATGATTTTCTCTTGAAAATTGTGCGTCCTAGCGAGATGCAACAAAAGTAGCTTTTATTATAAAAAACACATTGGTTTTCCAAATTTTATGGTCAAAAATGTTAAAAACTGTCAATAAAAAAACTTAGGACAATTTTACCCTAAGCCCCCCCTAATTTACCCACCTATGAAGATGATCAAAAATTGGGGTTTAGTCCATAAAATAGAGCGTAAAAAGGTAAGCATTTGTACCAAATTCCACTTCGTTATCTTTAAATGTTTAGAAAATATTTACAAAAGTGTGTCATCAGGACTTCACTTTTAACACCCTGTATCTCGGAAAAGAAACGTTTTCGGACTTATGTTTATATTAACATTTACTCCTACTTTACGGCTATCATAAGACCTATGCTAACATACGGTGCAGTTGTCTGGGTACCGAAAACCCAAAAATTAACAGCTATCCGTAAACTAGAACAAATACAAAGAACAGCATGTCTCAACATAACAGGGGCCATGAAAACAACACCGACAACACTGCAGCAAACAAATACTTGACTATGACTAGACAGAATCTGCATTCTGACTGGTCATTGCCAAGTATACGAAAGCATCTCCATATCATGGGGCTGTCAGAATCCGCACTCTGCAGAGGGTGCGAACAAGAAGATGAGACCATCGAGCATATACTTTACGATTGCCCGACGCTCTCATTTATTAGAAGATTTGGGTTCGGCGAGTATCGGCTAACACCGGTCGATGTAAGAGAAGCACCTCTTGGCGACGTTGTCAACTACATAAAATCTGTAGGCTGGCTCACGAGCTAGGAGATACCTATCATCTCAGGAGGATGCACAATGGGCCTAATGAGGCCTAAATGCCGTGGGGGTAACCCACCCTCCACACATTACAGATACTCTTACTTTTATAGGATGTAGATTACGCTGTTAAAATATGACCGTCTAATTTCGGGACACCCTGTATTACTGATCGGAAGTATAACTGGTTTTGAAGTTTTTCTCTAAAATCGTTTTTTTTTAAAGTGGATATGATGGACATAGGCGGAGTGCTCAATCGTCTGAGTGCGATTTGGACAATCCCCTCGAGTTGTACAGGTAATTTTTTCTACGACCAACTAACGAAAATCTACAAATATTAAAAATTATTTTAGGTTATTAAGATAAAATAATTTATGACTTTTACTAGTTTGTAAAATAAAAAAAAACCAAGAAAAAAAAAGATTTAATTTAATTTATCTCCATCCTAGATTTGAAAGACAAGTGCTCTGCCCTCGCCACCACCGAGGCTCTTAAAATTTTTGCTTTAATACTGGTAATTAAATTGATTTCATATAGTTTTATTAAAATTAACGAATTATTTATAGACTAAATAAAAATAGAAATTCTATTATTTATCGATTATACACAAGAATAGCTCATTTTAATGTATATTTAATCTCAATAACAATTAGTTTGACAGAATCGTAACTTTTTTAAAATTTTAAAATAATACCTAGTAGTTGGGTTATCAAAATATGAACTATGAATGGTGGATTTCATTTTTTTTTTTTTTTTCAGTGATTTCACTACATCGAATGGATATGAAATATATTCGTTCATTAGAACGCAATAGCATACTGTTTCGTTTTCTAGTCTGTGCGTAGATAAACTAATATCCATAAAGATATTTTTGAAATGCACATAAATATTTTTGTTTTGTATTGGAAAGTGTATACTTGAAAAATAAAAATATTAAAAAAATGTCTTACCTATTTTATAAAAATAAATATATATCAATCCAACTTTTTCTTAAATAATTAGGAAATTCAGCCTACGTACAAAAAAAATTTGGGAACCCTTGCTCTAGCACAGGCCTGTACAACTCAGATTTTTAAAGGGTCAGTTTGAAAAACCGTAAGTGTACGAGGGCCAAGTGAGGCCTGAGCCTATACTGCCGTCCTAAAAACAGATGCCGTATCTACAAAAAAATGAATTTTAATATTTTTGCATCAATGGGTTCGTGGAAAGTTAAATTAACTTTTTGCCAAGCAGAAATGCTGTATAAGTTTCCAAGATATTAAAAATCAAACATATTAATTAGCCAGCTATAACTTTAAATCCCATTTTCTTTGCTTATCGCTCTCAGTAGATACGGCATTTGTTTTTAGGACGGCAGTATAGTAGTCTGTTCAGATTCTAAAAAAAAGTCCTTACCAAGTAATAATTCTGCCGAGCTTTTCTAAAAAAAAAACTAATGCCTAAATGCAAGTTTGTTACTGAAAAATGTATAGTTTGTAGGCGGGCCAAACTGGTCTACGGCCAACGGGCCGCCAAACGACCGTGGCGGGCCGTATGTTATGCAGGCCTGCTCTCGCTCTAGCCTAATCAACAAGTAGTTACTTTCAACTTTACTCAGGTGTGAAAAAATCGGCCTTAAAATTTGGAGTTTTTTATTTTTATCCTCTTGAGTTATCGGGGATACAGGCACACATGAGGTTCTTTCGTTCGCTATTGGTGCAGTGTCCACCTGTGTAAATTACACCAGTTACACCACCCTTATTTACCTAGTTCACTTCCCTCCTTATTCCTTATTCACATATCGATTGTAATTCACTCCTGTGTAACAACCAGTTAATCCTAAAGGCCAACGCTTGTCACCAATTGTAACAACCAGTTAGCCTAAAGACCAACGCTTATCACCAAATGTAACAACCAGTTGTGTCTAAAGACCATTTACAACTACTGATAGGTCTTTAGCTACTGTTACTATACTATTAAGGGATAAAGGCAGCGCTTGTCACCAGCCCTAGGGTCCTGGAGTCCTGAAGGAACATCCATTCGCCAGTGGCAAAATAAAATAATAAAAGAAAATAATAAAAATACAAAAAAAAAACATCCCTTAATAGCATATGTCGAGCGGTTTTGGCAACTGACTTAAGACTCTCAAGTCCTTAAGGGTAGGAACGCCGAGGCTTAACATGCTCGGAATATTTCTTACTGGTTTTTGGAAAGAGGTGAGAATAAAATAGGTTAATAAACAATAACACGTATATTTAAATATAAGTAAAAAATGAATAACAAATTTCAATAAATCAAAACAATCTCTATTTTTGAAATAAGACATAGCAAAAATTACTACCCACAATTGAAAATCTTTATTATGATAAACCATGCTAATATAATATAATCTATGATGAAACTTTGATATAATGAAACCTTTTACATCACAAAAACATTTTAATATAAAAAAACTCTTTATATGATAAAACCCTTAAAACTGATAAAAACATTTAATAAGTAAACTTGGGACGAAAATGAAAGAATTGGCATTTGAAGAAGACTAATGAACTGTTTTAAAATACATAACCCAAACAAGAGATTTAACCATGTTAAAATAAAATAGATATTACCTTTGAAACTAAAACACTACACACACACTTTACTATATATAATAAATACTAATAATTACTAAGTTACATTTTTGGGCATAGGTTTGGCCCAACGGCCGCCCCTTGAGTCTTCTTTGTCAACGATTGACTCTCTATTTATATCAACCTTAACGTGATTATTTTACAAGAAGCGACTTATTTATTTTTAATGATTATTTGCACGATTTGTCCTTAAATTTACTAGTGCAATGAACTATTTCTAATTGTTTGGTTTTAATAAATATGTTGTGTTAATTTAATAGCTATTAAAAATATTAGATATTTTTGGGATTTTTGTTAAATTCTTTATATTTTAAAAATAATAATGCCAATTATTACACCTGCTAAATAGCTGGCAATAACTGGTGGAGGAAGTATCCACCAGTGGACACCACACCGCCGATCGAAAGGTTAGTGGATATAAACATCATCGCGAAAATTGTCAAAATGAATAACGTAAAAATCCGTCGAAAAATCATGATTTCTGTAAGTACTTTCCTTAATGGATACAGCAAAGTAAAAATGACATTTTATAGTATCACAGCAGCTTATCAGTGCTTCACAGGCGCTATGTAAATAAGTAAATTAACTGCAAAAGTGGCAGGTCGTATTCGTAGGATAAAAATTTTCTTTGGAAAAATTAAATTATTTAAAAATATTCAACGAACAATGGGAGCTGTATTTTAATTTATTATGATAATTGTGGCTCTGTTCCCGACAATATTTTTACCCGTAAACATGATATGACCTATGGTGATCTAAACACACTGCCCTGCGCAGTTACAATTATTTTAAATTGTTACCAATTATTACTTATAAATCTCAGCCATTCTTCAGTCCTCATATTTGTCAAGTTAATCCACACCCAATAATTTTTTTAAATAAGTAGAGTACCTATATTAACTTTAAATGGATTTTGTGTCGGAATTAAAAAACTCAAAAAATACTTTTATTATTGCCGAAATTGGACAAAATCATCAAGGTAGTTTGGAAACTGCAAAAAAATTAATAAAGACGGCCAAAGTAATTATTAAAATAAAATAAATTCGTATGTTGTTATTAAAATACCTATATTGTAGGATTGTGGAGCAGACTGTGCTAAATTTCAGAAAACTAATCTACGGGAAAAATTCAATAATTTGGCAATAAGTAGAATATATAATTCACCAAATTCTTTTGGTAAAACCTATGGAGAACATAAGCAATTTTTAGAGTTCAATGAAGAAGAATTTCAAGAATTACAGGAATATGCCAATCAAATTGGAATTTTATTTACTGCTTCTGCTATGGATGTAAAATCATTAGAATTTTTAATAAGTATTAATGTTCCATTTATTAAAATTGGATCCGGAGATGCTAATAATTTTATATTAATTGAAAAAGCTGCAAAATCTGATATTCCTCTAATAGTCTCAACAGGTGGGTGACAAATGTAAAAAATACTTTTAACACTTTTTTAGATGCATTTAAAAGTTATTAAAGACTTAAATGTAAACAAAAAATTATTTAATTGAGGCAGGGAATCCAACCTCTCAAATCTGGTAATTTTCTATGAGATAAATAAAGCATTTATGTATTAATTTTGTGGTATCATGGGCGTCGTTGGGGGGAGGTACAAGAGGGGGCATTCCCTCCTGGAAGTTGACTCAGTACATTTTATTAAAAAAGATTAATAATTTTTATTCTCAAATATGTTACTTATTTTGTTAAAAAGCGTTTGGACGTGGAAAAAATTTTTTTACAACGCTATAATTTTGCTCCTCCCCCCCTACAAATTCTTGCAACGACACCCATGTGTGGTATAGACTTTCAAAGGTTGGGATTCGGTTTTATTAGTAATTTTGTTTTAGGTATGCAATCATTAGAAACAGTTAAAGAAATTTACAATGTTATATCCAAATATCACAGAAAATTTGTGCTTTTACATTGTATATCAGCATACCCGGCACCTATATCTGATATTAATTTAAACGTTATTAAATTTTACCAAAAAGAGTTTTCAGATGTACCTATTGGATATTCTGGTCATGAATTAGGCATCTACATTAGTTTGGCAGCTGTTGCTATTGGAGCTAAGGTTGTTTAAGAACTATGTTCATAATTTTCTATAAATTATACATACATGTTTCATTTTAGGTTATAGAAAGACATATCACACTGGATAAAACTCTGAAAGGATCAGATCATACATGCTCATTAAACCCTACTGAATTTGAACAAATGGTAAATAATATACGATCATTAGAAACAGCAATGGGTCAAGGAATAAAAAAAATGGAAAACTCAGAAAAAGCCTGTTATGAGAAACTAGGGAAAACAATAGTTTATAAAAAAAAATTATTAAAAGGCCATGCCTTAACTATGGAAGACTTAAATGTAAAAGTGGCAGAACCCAAAGGAATTGATGGAGCTCTAATAAATAAAGTTACTGGAAAAATATTGAGTATAGATATTAATGAAGATGAATCTGTATTATATGATCATTTTCTATAGTACAAAAATGTATTGTCATATTCTATTAAATATTTTTTATATTATTTAACACACACTAAAAAATAGTTGAAAACCTACCTCTTCATGAATAATATTTTTGGGCCGTAATGTCAATTGATCACTAAGGCTATAATGTTATAATGTGATCTTTTAGGATAAGCTCTATCAATTTCATCATTTAACTAATGTATATTAGCTACAATAATTCCTAGAAAGGCAGCAAAGAACCTACGGCTATGTTTATACCCTATTCAAAAAATGTTTTACAAAGTGCTGTAAAACAACAATGCTCCTCCGGTTTGATTAATTTTCAAGCTTTTAAAATATTATAAAACTTTTGATTTGCTATTCAATTTTTGTTTACTCCTTGTATTTTACAAATATCAAGGAACTCTGCTGGAATTCAGCAGCGAACCTCGGTTTTTTTCAAAGACATTACAACATAGAGACAAAATGTTTCATTCATAAATTCCATACAATTGCGGACTGTTATTGTTTTAAAATTGTTAGTGAGTGGAAGAGAGAAAGACAGATCTCTTAGGACCGGTTGGCAACGTTGTAAACAGTGTCCATAATATGCTCGCCAGCGGCGTAGAGTTTTAAACTTACCAGTATTGTCAGAGTAGTATGTTAAAAAAATACGTAAATAAGTAGGTATATTTTTTTAGTAATATAATTATGGTGCTTTTTTCATGTAGGTACATTCAAATACAAGAGAATTCAAGTTACCTTCCGATTTTTAATTTTTATTGGTTTATAGTTTATTGGCATTTACTATATATTTGCCTGGTATGATGTTAACCAAAATTATTTAAAATTTTAAATTAAAATGAAGTAGGTAGGGGTATCTAAATAAAACACTGTCCTAAAAATATATAATTTTTTTATTAATTCCAAAAAAAACATGGTATGGCAAAAATTTTTAAAATAACGTTTTAAATATATTAAATACCTTAATTTTATTAACTAAAATTTCATTTAATTTTTTTATGCTTAGTTATTAGTGTTATTACTTACTGCAATGTTTTTTTGCAGCAGGTGGTGTTCCAAAAACAGTTGACTAATCAGAACTAAAAACCCATACATTAGATATACATACAGGTAATATATAATGTTTAGAGGTAAACAAAAAAATTAATATTTTGTATTTTTACCTGTTGGATAAGTCATCCAAAAATAGAAAGCCCTCACACCGTCTGGGGTTTGCATCTTTTCTGATATATTTAGCACCATTTGCACGTACCAAAACATCTTTAGGAAAAAAGTGTTCTGAACACTACTCTGGGTTTTTACGAAGGGGCTGATTTTCAAGGATCCCTACTAGAGGAAACCAAAGTTTTCTTTTCTCAGGATCTTGCGGAAACCTAAATAGAATATTAAAAAATATGTATAGGTGCCTAATAGGTAAATCATTTTTAAGGAATTCTACATTTTACGTTAAATTTTCTTTGCCACTATTCAATAATTATTTATTGGTATAAGAATAATTTACAAATTTATAAAAGGAATATCACTTTAAAAACTGTTTTAAGACTGTTTTAGACTACACAAGTTTTTGATACAATTATTTATTATACAATTTAAATTGTATATTATCAAACCTGCAGTGAATTGTCTGAAAAATTAGATTCGATAATCATTTTTCTAACAATGTACTATGTGATCCTATACAATTTAAATTCTATAAGAAATTGTATCAAATCTTGTACAAGAAATTGTATAGTCAAAACAGTCTTAAGACGGGTGCCCTACTCCACTGGTTCAAATGAAAACAACATATCTTAACCTAAAAATACTTACCGATGAAAGGATAAATTTCGATTTAAATGATCTATCTTATTGAACACTGCACATGCAATTCTTTATATTTTTCACAAAAGTTCACAAAAATAGTGTTTTATAAATGAATAAATCAATAAGTGACACAGGAACTGTCAGAAACACAAAATAGCTGTTAGACCCGATTGGCAACGTTGCGGCTGGTTACGGTAACTACGTTTCATTCATAAAAATAGGTACTAGTTGTAAATGCGTAAAATAAGATATTTAGCGTTGCGGCATTTACGTAGTTCTTTGCAACCCTAATATTTTGTTTAGATTAATATTGATTTTTAATAAAAAAATTAGCTTATATTGAGGTCTATTCTGTAACAATTCCTTTATATTTAACGGCCTTTAAAAATATTGGCGGCCTTTAAAAGTATATTTGTATTCGTTAATTTACTTCTGTCATTATTTAAACAGATTTCTTTAAGATAGTCCTCTAATGTATTTTAAAGATCCGTTTAAATAGTGACCGAATTAAAGAAGAAAATATTTTTAAAGGCCGTTAAATATAAAGAAATTTTTACAGAATAGACGCCATTAAAGAATAATTTGATTAAAAACATATTTTTATTTATATAACATTATAGTTATAGGATACATCAAATTTTATTTTTCGTAAGTAATTTCTCCAAATAATTTTTACAGACTGATAAAACCGGCAAAGAGGCAATAAAAGAGAATCTGGTGGAAATAATAATTTGCCACATAAAAATGTAAACAATTAGGTCTCTTAGTTGCAGTGATGTAAAATTACCGTAATTTATATTTTTGGTAATTTACGGGATTTAATTACCAAAATTAATTACCATGGTAATAAATTTTGTGTCGTAAATTACAGTGGTAATTTACCGTAATATATTTTATACACATACATGACTAATAATGACTTCGAAATGAAATTAAGTTGTGTGTCTGTACCGAACATACATTTATTTGTTACTAAATATAATTTAAATTTAGGTTTAAGTAATATAAAACGCGTAAGAAAACAAGAACATCAAATGAAATAAAACTTAAGTTCCACGTACTTTGTATAAGAAAATTTATTTAAATTTTATAAGAATTATGTTTTATTAATTATATTATGCATATGTTACGTTGGCATTTCACAATGAGCTGGACTAAATGAGATCTCTAAATTAACTATTTTATCTAGTTTAGTTTCGCTATCTACTTTAGACCAGTCGGATTCATATTCAGATTCAGACTCCAAAGATTTTAATGAACCGGATGAACATTCCGCTATATTTAAGTTTTGTCTGATATAAACATTTTTTTGTACCCTTTCATTTGTTAGTCGATTCCTTTTATTTGTATTGACATTTCCATACGTTAATAAGCTTTGTTCTGTGGCAGAGTTGACAGTGGGCAGTTTAATACTTCTACAGCTACTTTGTTGTTGAACAAATCGATTTCCACCAAGTCACTGCTAACAGTTTTTCATTTTTTAGACTGGTCCATACAAAATTTTTATCAAATAGGGCTTCTTTAGATCTATAAATAGTAATACTTTTCTGCAAGTAAATTCCAGCTAGCTGTCATGTTTCTGTCATTTTCTGTTGTAATTGACATATTTTTTTCTAAGCTTATTTCATCAATTCGGATATAATGTTGCACATGAAAGTTGCTTCATGACGAGCTCCTTTCGTATCTACTATTTTATATAACACAGGCTCAAGTGTGGTAATAATAAGATTACCATAATACAAAATACAATTTCCTGACATTCCTAATGAATATTCCGGACAAATTTTTAAAAATCCGAACAAAATAATAAAACTTCAACTTGAAATAATTACTATATGTTTTATTTAAAAAAGTACCTACATACCATCAACAACTAAGAACAAACAGTTCCTCAGTTACGAAATCTTGAAATTACCGTAAGGAGGACATTAACTATAGATTCATTGCGAATATTAGACCAACCATCAATTTGAATCCCTACCGTGTTAGCAGTATGAATTTTTTCGTTCAGGGACTTTTTTACACGATCAAATTCCCTTAATGGTAAATTTTAATGAAGACCAGTTATCCAATGCTTATTTTCACCGAAGTTCAGCGTCGCTTTCGCGAAATATGGTAAATTACAATAAAATGCCGTATATAATGGTAAATAACGGTCAATAATGTAAATTTTTTACCACAATAAACGGTGATTTACTTTGTAAATTACTGTAATTTATTTATGATTAATTACGGTAAATTACCACGGTAATTTACCACTTCACATCTCTGATTGTGGTAAATAACGGTAAATAATGTAAAATTTTTACCACAAAAATCGGTAATTTACTTTATAAATTACGGTAATTTATTTCTGGTTAATTACAGTAAATTACGTTAAATTACCACGCTAATTTATTGGTAATTTACCAGTTCACATCTCTGCTTAGTTGTAATGTCTTTGGTTTTTTTAATGATTGAGATGCTCTGCTGGCTTTATTTGCACACACTATTATCTCTAAAAATGGTAAATTTTTGCGAGTTTTATATTTCAAGAGCCTAAACTAGTTTTGGTCCAAGCCAGCAAAGCATCCATGTATATTTAAAAGAAATGCAAATTTGTTTTGGAAAGTTTCCTAATATTTCGAGAGCCTAAAATTAATGCAGTTGAATTGTTTTTGAAAAAAATCATTAAACAAAATCAGAAATTCTCTGCTGAATTCTAGCAGAGCATCTAGATATTTGTAAAATACAAGCAGCAAAACATTTTCGGATAGGGTATAAAAATAGCCTAAAAATTCAACTCAAAATGACATAGGTGCTCTACTGCCTTCATTGGCATGCTACAATAAAATATTAGGTATTTCATGAGACTGTGGGTGATAAAATGTTTACCTAACAAATGAGATAATATGCTAATAAAACTAGAAAAAAGTACTATTGACAAATTGTTATTTTTTTCTTTTTAAGAGCTGCAATTGAAATGTGTGAAATTGGAATATTTGGATCGTATTCTAGAGAGCACCATATATTTTATTATTTTTTTACCAAAAGATGAAGGATTCAACTATCTTTTAGTTAATTTTTTAAAAATATATATGAACGGATCAAACAGAAAAATCTAATATTTTGATAAAATTGTTAAAAATAATCCAACTTTACCAGACAAATTAGTATATTAAATTGCATTATTTTTCAAATATGACGATCACATGGAGTGTCATCTTTTATAAAGAGAATAATATAAAAAGAAATCTAAAAATTGGATTTGAAGTAAATAATCATTAAACTACGAAAAGGTTACATTTGCAAAAATATCTACAAAACTGAATATTAGACTCCCTTCGTTCTGTGACTGTTTCCATCGACTAATGAAAGGATAGTTTGGCGTTTTTAAATTGACTTTCATTTAGGTAAAAATTGTAACATTACATTTCTAAATACATAGTTTGCAAAAGAAAATATCGTTAGTTAAGAAGTATTAAACTGCTTACTATTACAATCGAAATGTGTGAAAATTTTAGAAGGCACAAAAATTAATATAAAAAAACTGAACAAATCTTTTTAAAATTTAAATGAGATCAATAACAAATTTATCAAGAACTCAACCAGACTTTAATGGAGTATTTTCAGGGGTTATATAAGGAAAAATCCAGTAAATGAAAATATCTAGTTAAAGTATAATAATAATATACTATAAAATATTTAATGACATACTGGGGCAAAATATAGGCAACTTAAAATTTTCCGGAGTCTAGCCTCGAGATTAATGTGCATCCACATGCTCGCAACAGTTAAGGATCTCTCCAGTCACATCATTGATGGGTGACCACTGGGACATTCCACAATGGGCTGTGTCACCATTAGACTTAGTCAACTAGCGTTTAACCATCGACGAAGTGTGGAATGAATGACAGTGAATGAGAGAGTGAATTGGTAAATGGAAAAGTAGTAGGACCTTCAAACGGTTGTACAATAAGCCACAGGCTGCAGTGCCACCTGGCTACAGATGGATTAGGGTGATAGCACGGGCGGTTTGGAGGTTGTAAAAAAAAATTTACATTTACTGTAATATTAATAATGTCTGACGAAACTGGAATTTTACCTTTAATTACATTTTATTGGTGTTTGAAAAGTTATTACTCCGTTATGGAAACAACTGTTTTAATTTTGTATTAAATGTGCTTGCACAATAATTTCAAGTCATAAAATACATATGCTCATTTATATATTTTGACTCAATAATTTTGTGAAGTTTAAAGACAGTGTTAAAATTCAGGACACCTAGGTAGCTAGTCAGTAAGCTGCTTTTTAAATAAAAAGATTAACCTTAAACTGAAATCCTAATAGGCAGATAAAAGTTTTTTTTTATTAAATAAAATGTGTTTATAAATATTTGAAATTTGCACTTTCCCTCAAATATCTCTATTACAGTTCATTTTAGGGAAATCATGTATAGGAGAAGAATCATAGAGAATGATGCCACAAGCAACTTTTATTATGATTCCTGTACTTTCCTTATCCGTATACAGAAAGGAAAGTAAAAAATAGCCTTGACAGTATTTTTTAGGAAACCCATTTTTGGTATATTTATTAACATATTTTATTTAATAAAAAATTAACTTTCATCCGGTAAGCAGATGGGCGAAGGTCGACCTATCCTGTACTATTAGTAATACTTTATATATAGCCATTTCAGAGCTATTAGGATTATAGTTTTACAATTTTTACACCCAGCTCATTGGTAGAGCTACTTCAGATGAACTATACATAAAATCCTATTTTGAATTTATCACTTTCTTTTTTCAGAACCATGTTTTTACTTTTCCATGTCCCCCAATTATTGGAAAATTGCCACTGAAAAATAAAAACTTTCAAAAGAACTGGATGTAACAATTTCTGTAATAAGTGCATTAGTATTTTTTTAATTTATTAATAGCAAAATCAAAATGTTTAGCTAAATCACTAACTAATTATGTACGCGAGTAACAAGAGGTCTAAACTTGTACAAGAGTTCCAAATGGTCGGAGAATATTAAGAACCCTATCCTGACACCATTTTTCTCTAAAAAAAATTATTTTCGATTGCCGGAATCTGAACACACAAAACGTGGTACATAGGCAGGATGTATAATCATTGAACCAGTAATACCTGTCCATAAAATGCTCAAACCATTTACATAAAGCGAACGCCTGTTCCGACAATTTTGAACCTGTTGTAACTGCCTTATGTAATAAGTTCTATTTAAATATATAAATCAAGGTCATACTTAAAAAAAATATCTTACAATAAGAGTCGTTTTTGTTCCCATATTTTTAATCTATCACAGCCTTATTACAATACTTATTTTTAACAATTCAGCCACCAACAAGGTGGGTGGAATGATCTGCTGTAAATCTCCCCTAAAATACAAAGTTTGAATCCCAAGGTGAATCAGAAAATAAAATTACTAAATTAGCCAATATTCCAAAGCTACTGTAGGCATGGAAAATATTTTATTAATAATGTTTCAATTAAAATACATTTTAATAAACATAAAAATATTATAGATTATGTATATACTTTACTTATTTATTTAGTGTTCCTTCTGTCCATTAGAACATTATGTACTTTCTTTAAGTTTTCAGATATATACATTTTTACCAAGAATAACAAATCCATGTAGACAAATATTTCTTAAAATTATTTTTTTCTTTCATATTTCCAAACATATACCGGAGCACTGTCCTTGGAACCTTTTTTCAACCGTCTAGGTGGTAAAACACTTTTTTTACTTTCTACAGCTCTTTTGATTTTAAATTTTTGTTCAAGTACATCCAGTTCCCTTTCTCTATCAATTCTTTTTGCTAATTCTTTGTACACTGCTTGCCGTTTATTGGCAGATGATTTTAAATCCCTTTCACTTACATCGGGTAGCTCATTTTCCATTAAATAATTCAAAATTCTGTCTGAAGCTTCTCTTTTCTTCTTTTTGTCAAAATAAATGTGATTATTTTTCTTACCAATATCTATACTAGGTAAATGTAACTGTGATTGCAATTTTTCAATTTTTTTAAGTTCCTGCGTTTTCTTTGTAGTTATATACTTCAAATCTTGTGTTTTCATTAACATCAATTGTTCTGGAGTGTACTCATCTTTTTCCTGCTCAAAATGTACACCATCCTCAGTCTTTGAATTTATCATGTGGTGGTAGAACTCATCTGGGTTTTTATTTAAAGCTCTTTTGCGAAGAAGTTTCAATGTTTCTTTTTTCTCATTAAAATCCTTTGCCCGAACGATATAGTCCTTTTTCTTTTCAAGAAGTCCCAAATGAGCTCGACTTTCCGGTTGATGGCGTTCTTTATGAGTTTTTTGGTGTGCTTTTGAAGCTTTTTTCCAAACAGACATGTTTGATACTAAAGTATTAGAAAGTAAATTATTGAAATAAAAAGTTCAGCGAAAACATACAACAGATATAGGTATTTGGGTTACTTCTCTATGCCACTATTACACATTTGATAATAAGACACCACACAAAATTCAAAATTTGTACATTTCCGCTTTTACAAAAATAAATGGCACAGTAATGTGTCATGTCCGTCATCTGTCATGTCCATCATGTGTCATGTCCGTCATGTGTGATGTCAAAAACATTGCGTTCGGTTTGCCAAGTTCCTTTAACTCCTTTAACACTTTTTACTCCAAACGACCCTTTTAGCGTTCGGTTTAGTCCGATTATTGATAGTTTAACACGCTTAAATGTCATTTAAAAGCACCCTAAAAAAACTCCACTTTTGTCCCGCTCCAGCCCCTGACTATCAGAACTCGCCTAAAAACGAATACAAGTCACCGTGGTCACCGACCTTGATATTAAACTGGATGGCATATGAACTGTTTAAGGCACAAAGCACATAGAGGTTCCACGTGAATGACCAAGGTCAAAACCGACAACTGACATTTTTTATGCTATTTGCTCCAAACTCTAGATGGGGCTACTGGTGAAATTATGATTTCTTACTCCATTTTTAAGCCTTATGGGAGAAAAACTTATGGCGTATTCGACTACCCAGCGCTGGCTCCGATCAAGTTCGAAACATGATAGTGCAGTTGCAATGTAAAATCAAGAGCGAATAGTGCCGATTCGAACGCGCGCTGGGGCAGTGCGAATTTTTAAAATTTGAGCTGGCTCTGTGAAAATCCGAGTTGAAGCGTTCGTGTTCGCGCCGATTTCACTTGCCGATTATTTGTTTACTTTTTCACCTAACCTTCAAATTGATAAATTACAATTTATCATCAATTATTAATTGTTTTTACCATAAAAAGGCCAGAATTGAAACAGCAGCCGCAGTTAAGTCACATCTATTGTGTTCTTGTTTTTGGATAAAACGTGGAATTTTCGTACATATTTGATATTTTTTCATAAGTCGTTCTCGTCAAACGAAAGTTTGCTTTAAACTGAAAATAGGTACAATGGTAAAATTTACATACTTTTATTTTGCTAACAAAAGATTAACTGAGCAAACATAATTGAGGTTATTAAAAATATCCAGTGCAATGTACTTGCACCGCCAAAAATTACAGTTCCAAAAAGTTCGAACGCTGGATGAACCAAGCTAACAACCCGAACACAAATTATTGCTCTGTCCGCGCTCGGCTCGGGTAGTCGAACATGGGAAATATTTGCTCGCTTATGAGCTGAATCAACTCGAACATAAATTATTGCACTGCACTCGCAAAATGCGAGCTGAGTGCGCACCAGTGCAGGTAGTCGAATACGCCATTAACCAAAGACTCCAAAGATGTGACGTGTATTTATTTATGTTCTTGGTTAGTTTCATTTTTCCGTCTGATTTTAGTGATTTTTTGTTGGCTTTGGCTTTTGGTTTCTGTTTATAGTTTCGTCTTGGTTATTTGCAAAATTGTGATGTTTCGCTTTTTTATTTCCTACTGTGTTTTGCAATAATTTTGGTGCTACGTTGAAAACTTCGAGAAAAACTTCATTGATTCACCATATATTCACCATGCATCTGCATCATAAAAAGACAAACGGGGACAACAATTAATTGATAATCAATTTATCACTGGACTAGATTCCGAAATCTGTATCACCATCTGTATTTGGAAGGAAAATACCTATTTATCATTGAATGAATAGTTAAAAGGATTCACCTTTTAATACAATACCTATATTAAATTTGTCCTCAGTTAAAAAGACATTTATAAAATATATAACTTTAGTGTTAATAAAATGTAATATCCTAGTCTCTACTTATTCACATTTACATTATTGATAGGTATTTTAAAGATTTGAGATTATATATCTATTTGCTCCAAGTAAGTATTCGTTAAATATGTATTATTATTTGTATTTATTTTTATCTAATAATATTTATTTAATTTATTAATAAACATATTTTAAGAATGTTCTATTTTATTATTTATTGATATATCTTATATTTATTTAATAAAAATATGCAGAACAAACTCTCCACAATAGACCCCTTATAACAAATTAATTCTTCAAATTTGGTATAATCGACCTAAATTATTTTGTAAAACAAAAGTTTCGAACTTACTAGTTCCATACTTTATTTTATAAAATAATTTATGTGGAAATCATTTAAAATTTACTTTAAAACTACTACCTACTCCTAAAAATTACAATTTGAATTTACCGCCATCTGTCAATTGTCATTTTAGTTCCAGCTCCAAACACAAGGTAGCGCTAATTTGGTTTAAAAGTTTAACATTGGCGTGGGGTCTCTAGAAGATACATGCTTTGTGGTTCAAGGCGTTGTCAATGTCAAGTGACGGTGACTTTTTTATCACAAAAAATACAGATCTGAATGATAATATTTTGAGAAATTGTTTCAGAGTATGGTAAAGAATGGTGGAAAGTCTATAGTTTGTTTTACTTTTAATGTATATTATTTTAATAAGTGATATTTAACAAATATTTAAAAGTTACAGACTTTCCACCATTTTTTATATTATTTAAAAGTTAAAACACAAAATACACTCTTCTATATTTGCCCTAATTATTTCAGAAATCTTGTGTTTAGATTTAAAAATATATTGGTGCCAATTTGCAACCGTGCTAATTTGCGACATACGTTTCATTAAACTCATCGTATTACGTATTTGTTGACATTAAGAGAGAGAAATAAAGGCACGTCTTGTATTACTTCGAATGAAAAATCGTTTTCTAGCCTAAGAAAAAAGTTGAACTTGGTCTTAAAAGGCCCGTATTTACAAACAGATCTCAGCCAAGTCCGACTAGCTGAGTCGTCCTTGAACGAAAGTCGAAGTTCGATTATATCGCTTGAATTTAGAAATGGGTCTTAACAAATTCGTAAATGTACTTAACAGTTACAGATTTGCTAATAGCCATCTCTAAATTCCAGTGTAACACCGGAACGACCTCGAACTATAGAGACGTTGTAACCGAACTTCGATTTTAGTTCAAGGACGACTTATCCAAGTCCGACTCAGCTGAGTACGGACCCTACTAGATTCTGTGAGTGTAGTTCTGTGCATGTTCTGTGATCGTAGTTCATTTGAACATAAGCAAATGACATGACATAAGTCATAAATAAATTTAATAAATGGCGGCAACTAATGAAAACAAGTGTGAACTGTGAAGGTTAATTTTGTATATTTTATATTATGTTATATTATTTTTAGTGTATATCGGTAAGGAAAAACAAAGTATGTTTTATATTTTAATAATACTATTTTATTATAGATAAATATGACAACGCTGAGAGATATACCAGCATTTTCTATGTGGAAAAGTTTGAATGATACAATATCTTTCATAAAAAAAGCAGAAAGTTGGGAAGCTGGTGTAGATAAATTGGCAAAAATTATCCGAGATTATTCGAATATTCTATTTATATGCAGTAGGGAGCCACATGTTACATTTGAGCAATATCAAGTAATCCAAGAAACATACAAAACATTTACAATTTGGTTACTTGGTCAATTCTTTTACTTGTTGGGACATGACAAGTTTAATAAAGCTCACGACGTTATAATAGAAACACAAGTATACATATTAGATCAGTTATCTAATACACTTTTACATGTTTATCAAGAATTATCATAACATAACATAACAATATTTTATTTACACAGTTAAAAATGTATATACATGTCAGGATTGGAAATAGTATATCAACACAACCGGAGATCTTCCTGTCGTGCGGTCAATCGTCCGCCCGGACTTGTCCAACCTATATCTACCCCCTATCCTGTAAAAAAAATGGTCAAATATTGTGGCCCTCACTCCTTACTGCACAGTATTATTGAGGGATTATGGTTGTTTTGGGATCGGTAATGGGAATTTGTATAAGGATATGTCGCGTTTGTGTTTTGGTTTTTGTCCCCTGAAAAAGCTAGAAAAAACAGGGTTGTCCTTGTGTGTATAGTTTGTTTGTTTAGTCTGTTGTTCGGTATTACAGCTCACAGGCAGACTGCTCGATGCACCGTCCATCGAGGCAACAATCGTGGGTTTCTCGTTTGTTGCTTCGATGGCCGGTTCACCGTTCAGTCCGCCGTCCGACTAGTATACGTTAGTATTTAGTCGGTGTGGGCTGTTGTTTAGTTTGTCTGGGATCGTTAAGGAGGAATGTTAAAGTATTTTTGTTATTATTATTATTGTCTGTGTCTATATATGTCCAGTTTCGCGTGTAAACAGCCGTGTTTTCTACGCACGCCGTCCCCGCGATAGATGCTAAAGATATCATCCTTCACATAATCGGGGAGACACCGTGTGTAGAAATTCTCGGCTGTTTCGAGTATGTAGTCCTTAATTCGTGGAGTCTGAGTTTGTATGTGCATGTCTTCGATTCTTGCATAACGGTCGTAGCCCAGAGCTAGCCGAAGACATCTGTTCTGCGTAATTTGCAGTTTGCTGTAATGACAGTTGGCCATCGAACAGTACACTGGACATCCATATGTCATGATCGGTCTTAGCATGGTTTTAAATAATAATAGTTTATTTTGCAGGGTGACTCTGCTCCTTCTGTTTAGGAGGGGATATAGAGTTTTGATGGCTGCTTGTGTTTTAGTCACCCTGTCTTTAGTATGCCGATTGAAAGTCAGTCCCTTATCCAGCTGAAAACCAAGATATTTCATGTGATCTTTGGTTTCTACCTGTTGCCCCTGAATACTGAGTGGGGTTATAATGTTTCCTATTGTTCTACGTTTAGTAATTATTAGACTCTCGGTTTTGTGAGGATTTATCTTTATCTTGTTTTTAGTCAGATAGGGGACTAACTTCCTGTTTATATGGATGTCCAATGTCCTGAGGGCGAGTTCTGCAGAGAGATCGGAATTATAAATACAGATATCGTCGGCGTACAGTGCCGTTTGTACCCCATTATCACCCATTGGCATGTCATGGGTCATAATGGTGTACAAATGCGGCGAAAGTACTGAGCCCTGGGGTACTCCCGCCTGCGCGATGTATGGTCCTGTCGTAGTATTGTTAATCTTTACGTTGTATTGTCTGTTTGTTATGTATGAATGAATTGTCTTTACAATATGTACGGGAAAATCATTCACAAGCATTTTGTGGATTAACCCGCAGGTCCAGACCGAATCGAAGGCCTTTTCGCAGTCAAGGGCGACAAGTACCGTTTGTTTGCTGACATTAGTGGCTTCTTTAGCGTAGTGCGCGATTCTTAATATTTGTGCAACGGTACTGTGCCCCCTTCGGAACCCGTACTGTTCCTGCGGGATAAGTCTGAGTCGTTGTTCAATATTGTTAAGTCTGTTTAATATAATAGTGTCTATGATTTTAGTTATTGTATTTAGCAGCGAGATGGGTCGATAGCTTTCTATGTTTTTTGGGTTTTTGCCGGCTTTTAAAATAGGTATAATATTTGCAATCTTCAGGCAACTAGGATAGTGTTGTAGCCTGAAGATTGCATTTATTATGTAATTGAGTTGTACAACCCCCTTTTTGGGGAGATTTTTTAATAAGTTATTAGTAATGCCATCCGGCCCCGGAGCTTTTCTATTTTTGAGTTTCCTGATTGCATCCCCTACCTCTTTAGGAGAGGTCAGAGTAGAGTGGGGGACGTGAACTGGGTCAGATGCGCCGAAGTCTTTAATTATTTCCTCAATTTGGGTTTGATGTTCGTTATTTGCGAATTGATTAGTGAAGTTATGCTGGAAGTGTTCGCCGAAGGCTAGTCCCTTATCATTATCGGTAGTGTATGTGTTTTGTCCTTGTTTCATTGTGGGAAGTTGTGAGCTGGGTTTTTTATACCTTCTTACTACCCCCCACAATGAATTGTCTCCGGGGTTCACTTCGGACAGGGTTTTTTGCCATATTTTATTTCTATGTTGGTTTATTTCATAATTAGTGTGCCTGGCGATGTCCATTAGCATAACCCTGTCCTCGGCTCTCCTGTGTAGCTGCCACCTTTTCCGTATTTTGTTTTTGTTATTAATCAGTTCTGTTATGTCAGGTGGCAGGATGTCTTTGTGTAGTGGGGTTGTTTTGATTTTTGTGGAGTCGTTTCTAGCTTTTTGTATGGTTGAGATTAGGTCTTTTGTGATGTTTTCTAGCACTTCGGGGCTTTGTATGTTATTATTGAGCGTTAATGTGTCGTTTATTATTTGTCTGTATTTGTTCCAGTCTGTGGTTTTAAAGTCGTAGTACTGTTTTTGTTGTCTGTTGATTTTTTGAGTCGTCCTTAGCTCCAAGCACACTGGATCGTGGTCCGAGTTAATAGTACTTATTGTTCGAATGTTTTGAATATCAGGTATGTTTTTCGTGACCGCGATGTCCAGTGTGCTGGGGGTGGATCCGTTAAATGGGGTAAAAGTCGGTTCGTCCGTATAGTGGATGATAAGTTCGTTGTCGTCGGCGTACTCTTTCAGCATGTTACCTGATGGGTTCGGGTTTATACAGTTCGCGTCCCATTCAGGGTGTTTGCAGTTCAGGTCTCCTGCAAGAAAAACTCTGTTGCCTTTTGACATTAAGGCATGCATGTCTGCCGCAAGAATCCTTCTGGCTGGGGGGTTGTACGCTCCTATAAAAATATAATTGTTGCATTTTATTATTATGTGTTCAATATGCTGTGATATGTTTGCATTGGGTAGTTGTTCGAAAGTTAAATTAGTTCTTACAAGGAAAGCTACCCCTCCCGCTGCCCTTTGTCGTACGTTTTGTCTGTTGTGTTCAGGTCTGTCTTCTCGTATAGTGTTATAATCTCGTATTCTGAATTTGTCTGTAGGTTTGAGGTTCGTCTCTGTTAAAATTATAATGTCGAATTTATGCTTGTGAATGAAGTTTGTTATTAAACCGCGTTTACTTAACAGCCCGTTCACATTGTAAAAACAGATTCGTAGTTTGTGTCTATGTGTATTGTTGAATTTAATTTCTGAATTGGTATTGATTTAGGTTTTTTACAAAGTTATTATATGTCGTGAATATGTCGCGGTCGTCTCGGCATTGTCTGAGGGAATTATTGAGGGCACGTACAGCTCGGGTGAGTTCCGCAATATTTACCAGACTATTTAGGGTTGTAAATTCGTCGTTTAGGGCGAACATGTCGTCTATTGACTCCCCTTGGTTGTTCTGTGGTGGCTGTTGTTGTGGTTGTTGTTGACTCTGGGCCTGCGCTGCTGGTGGTGGGTTCTGGGAAGCCCTTCTAGTGGGTAGGGGTGGAAAGTCTTCTTTATTATTTTTGTTTGGGCCTGAGGGTTTTTTATTCCATACATTTACTGCTGGGGGTGGAGCTTGGATGTATTTTTTGGGTTGGCTTAGAGCCTTTCTTTCCTCCATTCTGGAGACTCTTTCTCTGTAGGCTGAGCATCCTGTGTAGTTGGCTGGATGCTCTCCTAAGCAGTTTATACATGTAGCCGGGGTGTCTCTTGACTTTGTACATGATCTTGTATGATGATCCTCGGCGCATTTGAGGCATTTAGGGGGGCGACCACAATTCGCGGTGGCGTGCCCCCACGCCTGACAATTATGGCACTGTATAATGCTTTTTACGGATTTTCGGAGCTCCCATACCACCCTGGTGTTCTCAACCACTCGAATGTTTTTATTTAGGAAGTCGAGCGTGATAGCCGGATCCGTTACGATCAGGAAGAGAGGGCGATTTTTCGTGGACATTTTGTATGAATCCCTGATTTTGATGTCGTACGATTGCATCAGATCCTCTTCAATCTGTTCCAGGGTGGTACCTTCCGCTATTCCTCTTAGAACAAACGCGTGCGATTTGTCTGATCGGCTTGTGTAGGAGTGGTGGGATATTTTGGCTTCTCTAAAGCTAGCCAGGAGGTTTTTATGATCTGCTAGTTCCTCGAGGTATAATATGGTGGAGTTCGATGTATATTTAATTGTGTATTTACCCTTGACAATGCTTTGCAGGTCTTTTTTGAGGCTGTTGTGGTTGTCAGTCCTGCCCTCTATTACTATCGGGGGCATAGTCGATTTTTTTGGGATAGTTGGGTTGGTTTTGTTGACCGTGTTAGTTTTTGGAGGTTTATGTGTTTCTGTCTCCTTTGGCCTGTCGGTTGCGGCTTTTTTAGTGTCGTTTTTCTTGGGTGGGTAATTTTCTTCATCTGAGTCGGTATCTGATAGGGCATTATATTTGTTCTGTAGTTTTATCGATCTCACCGCTTTTTCTCTTAGAACTTTTACAAAGTTAGTAGAAAACTTCTTAGGTGTTTTGAAACCTTCAGAGTCGTTGGTTTCCATGCTTACTGGTCCGTCGTTGTTCTGTTCCTCAATTGTGGGCCGTTGCCCTAGCCTTTTTCGTTTCGAGGGCTGTTCAGGTGTGGTTTTCGCGACCGCGCCCGTGGACCCCGACGGTTTCAGTCCAGTGAATTTTCGGATTTGGTCACTGGTCACGACGGTGTTCGATTGTCTCGTTTTCATCGACTCGTCCTCGCTAGAGGTAATGTTTTGCGCGTCCGTTCTAAAGTTTAGAATTCTCTCGGTGACCGTGGCTGGTAACGGCAGCGTGTTGTATGCCGACACAAAGTTTGGGAAATCATATCCCGATGATTGGGCCTTAGTGTTGGCTTTCCCCAAGCTTTCCGAGCTATTCTCCGAACTTGTATTCTCGTTGTCAGAGCTTCTGTGTATATTCTCCAAACTTTTAAATATATTCTCCTTACTTTTTTTCGTGTTCTCCAAACTTTTCAGTTCATTCTCCGAACTTTTCTGAGTTTTCTCCATACTTTTCAGTGCTTTCTCCATACTTTCTCGCGTTTTCTCCATACTTTCTAAATTTTTCTCCATACTTTCCAAATCTGTACTGTCTTTGGCTAGTTCTAAGAGTCTTTTCTCTGCATTCTCGGCACTTTGAATGATTAAATTGTCAATGTTTTGTTCCGCGATACCGGTGATATATTTCACTTTTTCGCTCGCACTACCGAATTCACCGACGTTTACAAGTGTATTGTTTAGAGGCGAGTTCTCCGCACTTTTAAAGTTTGTAAAATTGCCATCACTATCCGGCGAGTCGATCGGGCTTGACGCGTTCGCGTTATTGTCAAAATTATTTTTAGAAAGTATGTGGAATACTGTTGTATTTTTCAGCACATCACCTTTCTCCATACTTTCTTTGGTATTCTCCATACTTTCATTTTGTTCAACTTCTTGGGCGTTAGAACAGTCTCTTTCGCTGGGTGAGTGACCGGAGCGGTTTAAGTGTTGGGGCTTTTCTGGTACTGACTTATGGTCAGATTTTGGGTCAGAATAAGTTTTCTCCAAACTTTTTTTTCGGGAAATATTTTCAGACGAATCTTTTCTACTTCTACTTCTAGATTTGCTATGTCTACTAGGATTAGGAGTACTCACATGACGGTAAGGGTGGTTATGTCCACTATCCCTCCGGGGGCTGTGTTGGGGTGGTTTGTGTGCATCCAGAGATGGTGTTTGTAGAAGCAGCTTGTCAATTCTGTCTTTATTTCTCCTTGAGAATAGTGTGTTAATAAAATTTGGGTCTCCCTGGTTGCTGGGTGTAGGGGTGGTTGTGGCTACCCTTTCGGGTTCCGCCATAGGCGGTTGTCGCGAATTACCGTGTGGTATTTTACTATACCTGGCGCGATCGAAAACAATAACAATAAACTTTTTTTAAAAACTTTGAGGTTAGAAACCTGGTGGTCCGAAATCGAACTAAAAGCAGTAGCAAAAATAAATCAACCGTCCTCTATGAAACTACTTAACAGTTACAGATTTGCTAATAGCCATCTCCAAATTCCAGTGTAACACCGGAACGACCTCGAACTATAGAGACGTTGTAACCGAACTTCGATTTTAGTTCAAGGACGACTTATCCAAGTCCGACTCAGCTGAGTACGGACCCTACTAAATTCTGTGAGTGTAGTTCTGTGCATGTTCTGTGATCGTAGTTCATTTGAACATAAGCAAATGACATGACATAAGTCATAAATAAATTTAATAAATGGCGGCAACTAATGAAAACAAGTGTGAACTGTGAAGGTTAATTTTGTATATTTTATATTATGTTATATTATTTTTAGTGTATATCGGTAAGGAAAAACAAAGTATGTTTTATATTTTAATAATACTATTTTATTATAGATAAATATGACAACGCTGAGAGATATACCAGCATTTTCTATGTGGAAAAGTTTGAATGATACAATATCTTTCATAAAAAAAGCAGAAAGTTGGGAAGCTGGTGTAGATAAATTGGCAAAAATTATCCGAGATTATTCGAATATTCTATTTATATGCAGTAGGGAGCCACATGTTACATTTGAGCAATATCAAGTAATCCAAGAAACATACAAAACATTTACAATTTGGTTACTTGGTCAATTCTTTTACTTGTTGGGACATGACAAGTTTAATAAAGCTCACGACGTTATAATAGAAACACAAGTATACATATTAGATCAGTTATCTAATACACTTTTACATGTTTATCAAGAATTATCAGAGGAATACAAAAAAATGTTAAAATTGATGGTGGGATATTTAAGAAACCCCCAGGACAATTTGTTATTGGAAGTATTTGTTCCACAGAATTTAGATGATTTAAGTAAAGAACTCAATTTAAATCAAGTTTTTATTCAAATATCCTCAAAAGAAAAATGTTTTTCAGTTCTGTTGAAATTGATGAAATTCATAAAATTTATATTAATAGAGAATTTTATGTTTTATAGTTTTGATCATAATACCTGTGAAGTTTTAGATAATTTAATATTTTTATTTAGTGAGGCAGGGGAAAAAATTAAACTTCAAATTGTTGATATATTTGTAGAATTAACAAAACTAAACTCTAATTTTATGTATAACCCTGATATCAATCATAAGCTTTTATTACTATCATCTCTGTTTCAACAATTCACTTATCATGTATATGATACTAATATTTTACTTAATGAAGACATGAAAAAATTTGAAAATTACCTTGTGAAATATATTAATACTAAAGATAAAATATTTTTTAAAAATATATCCCAAATTAGTAAATTTCTTTTTAATAAGTCCTTAAATACTTCCAAAGGAATTTCTCCTTCTGAAGAAATAAAAATAATTATTACAAAACACCTAGAAAAAACTTTTAATGAGGAAAAAATTAAAAACATATCAGAAATTGTTAACTTTTCAAACTCCGAACTAATATTCTGTTTAAAAGAACATATATACAGAAATATTGAGACTTTGGAAGTTTTTTCAGATTATTTGAAAGTTTTCAAAGAAAATACAAATGAAACATGGTACAACATTTACAATCACATAATGTCTAAAGTAGATAAATTAAATTGTCTAAATAACTGCCAATTTTCAGATTTTTTAAAATTTTGTAATAACCTAAACAAAATGTTAATACAAATTAATCTAAAACTTATGAAATCAAAAAATAGAAATTTAACATTATGTTACTTTGATGAGAGAGAACTATTGTCCCACTTTATAAAAAAAAGTTTAGTTCATTTTAACCAATGTAACAAAGTCAGTGAAACATTAGATGAGGTGTTACAGTTTTTTATAACATTTACTTTATTGACAAACTCTAAAAACATAAACATCATTTTTCAAATTCTTGGTTTTCCATTATTAAAATCTTATTGTTATAAAAGCGACAATCAATTTAGCAATAACTTTATTGGAGAAAGGGATGTGGGGGACATAAGATCTATGATAAGATCATTTTATAAATATTTGAACTCACAAAATATTACTGATAGTCTGTCCTTACAATTGCTCAATAAATTATTTGTAATAATTTCCACTAAACTGGTTACACTTAATTCCAACCAACTAAAAGACATTGCAAATTTGTATTTCAAGATTTCTAAAGGCGTTTTTGAATCATCGCATCATGATGAAATTATTTTGGTAAGTACCTAGTTGTACCCTCAGTATAGAATAAAATTTGAATATTAGTAAAAATTAACAGTGTTTGTATAAAATTTCAATATTATGTTATTTTCAAATTAGATATTTACTAGAGTTAAATTACTCTACCAAAACAGCTTTAAGCTCCACGTATAGTCTGTTGCAATTTATAGTAGAAAATTGTCTGGCTTTAAACATGAAGGAAGGTTGTGTATTAGCTGGAACAGGGACAGTGCTCCCAAATGGACTTTAAAAATTAATGTTTTCTGTTTGGGAAACAATCATGATAATATGAATGTTTGTAAGATTTTTTAGTTTTCCTAAAGACCCTAACAAGTGGTTGCATCTTAGCAAGAGGAAAGATAAACTTAATATAAAAAACGTTTCCTGCAAGATTCGTGCCAAAAATCCCAGAGATCAATTTTACAGCGAAAGTAACGCGTAAAGATACATGAAATTAGTCATTTTATATTTTTTAATATTTTTCTGATCCGAATCTTTTGTATTAAACATTTTGTTGTAGCTGTTATAATAAATGCGTTACAGAGAAAATAAGCACTCTCCTCTCCCTAATGAGAGTCAGGATATGAGTGACGTCATGCACATGGCAGACGAAAACTGAACACGGGAGCATCCGGCCCTCGGTAGTATTGGTGTGGAATTTACCTAATCACTTTAGTTTAGCTTCAAAGTTTCGGTACTATATACACACATCGTCAAAATTCTTGGACCACCTTATGTTTGTCAAAATGAGACACTATTATTAAAAGTCAAGAAGTATGTTACATAGAACTTTTAATTTGGTTATGTATCCAATACAAATTGGCTGAATTAAATTTTAACTGAACAAGAAAAAATACAAACGAAAAATAGTGGCATAATAAAATGATTACTAGAATTTGAAATCCAGAAGAAAACCACTTTAAAACGAAATCAAAAATTAATTAATATTCAGTGTGTCCTCCCCTGTTCTGTAGTAAGGTATAAACTCACCTGTGCATGGAAACAATAAGGGTGTTAATGAAATCCATTGGGATATTGTTCCATTCTTCTTGGGCCACGAATACGGCTGCCAGATTTTCTGAAATGAAAAGCGGGGGGTTTTATTTTTTGAAGAAAAAACAAATTTTAATGCCTGATTAATTAAACATTTTCAACAAGTCAACATACAAGTACCTATTCTTAATTTTGGTATCATTTTTGGCAATCTTCATGTCACAACTGTACATTTATACCTATAAACAAATACTTAAAAAAATTAACAATAGGTGGGTTCACACTTGAACTAAAACATATAATTCTAGCTTTGTGTGTTTTTTCTGTAAGTACAAAGAATACTGAAAAATAATTTATTGCTTCGCTTCTGATTGTGTTTACAGAATCACGCCACCTTGTATTCTGCGAGGTATTCTGTTATATTGACCGCTAACTTTGGATATCTATAAAATATACATATATAAAAAATATACATAAATCAAAAACAAAATGCTTACATTAATATAGTTAAACTTCTCAAAAAAATCTGATGTGTCCAACACATGACTTTCCTATCTAGTTATTATAGGCTTTTTCCGGTTATTTTGTACAACCTATTGCAGCATCTCTATAAATGTTTAGAGGATAAACTAAATATATACATTGTCCACATATAACTACCTCGAAACATTTTTCTATGGATATTCATTGAAAACGAAAATACTGAAAAATTTTAATTTAGCACTTTTCCATTACGGTCCATTTCAGAAAAATCATGTATAAACAAAAATTATATCAAACAACTTTTAGTTCAACAATTTTCATAAAATTCAGAACTTTGCACATTTTGTCAAATTTCTCGAATACGGACCATTTCAGGAAATTTTGACATAAAACAAAAATTATAGATAATATTATTAGAAGTAACTTTTATTTGAACAATTTTCTTCTCCAAACATAAATAACAGATATTTTCCATAAAATATAAAAACGGCCTCCCATAAAGTACCCCCCCAGATGTTCCGACTTTGTCCAAAATCTAATCATTTCACGTCAGTCCGAAATAAACCTTAAGTTTAAAATTTAATGTTTTTTCTTTATCCGTTTTTGAGTTTTCTTCAAAATTCGAAATTTACACATTTTCTCAAATATCTCGAATACGGTCCATTTTAGAGAAATTATGTATAGAATAAAAATTATAGATAATTATATTACAAACAACTTTTATTTGAACAATTTTTATAAAAAATTATTTTTTTTACATTTTGTCAAATTTCTCGAATACGGACCATTTTAGGAAAATTTTGTATAGAACAAATATTATAGATAATTATATTAGAAGTAACTTTTATTTGAAGAAATTTCTTCTCCAAACGTAAATAACAGATATATTCCATAAAATATAAAAATGACCACCTATAAAGTACCCCCCCAGATGTTCCGACTCTGCCCAAAATCTAATCAGCTCATTGGACGCTGAAACAAAGCTTAAGTTTAAAATTTGGTGTTTTTCTGTGTATCGGTTCATGATTTATGCGTTATACAGACACACACACACACAGACACACACACACAGACATCATCGCGAAAATAGTCAAAACGGATTCAGGGGACCTCAAAACGTAAAAATCCGTCGAAAACTCGAGGTCGAAAAAAATCATGATTCCTATACTTTCCTTATATCTGTATACAGATAGGAAAGTAAAAATGTCGAATTCCTATTGTAACCAATTAATTATTCTAAAATTACAAATAGAAGAAGAAGACTTTTGCCTTCCTTTTGCAAAACAAAATTTTTGCAAATTCTTGGCAAGTTTCAGTACAATTAAATTTAATCATTAGTTCAGATTCTGTTTCTATAGAAAGAGAATTTCTTTCTTTCCTCCAGGCTACAAACATTAGACAAAAAATGCTCACTTATCGCGTTTGAGTGAGGAAGAGAAAAAACATAAGAGCAGAGATCATAGCTCTTAAAATAATAAATCCATTACTGGTCAATTTTAATGTCTTTAAAATTTAGTGGTGGATTTTCCAAATATGATTCGTCTAAAAGTAAGTCAATATCTACACCAATGGCAAACTCATCAGAATTTTTCATGAAATCATTCAGTTTAGGGTTTCTTTTTAATTCCATCGACCCCAGACATATAAAAGATGGCTCTTGTAGAGATTACGACGTTTGTAGATATGAGCGGAATGACCCATAATTTGATAGTATCGTTAGCATATTAATAATTTTTTAATATCTGTTCAATGTAAATTCGAGGTAAATTAGATTTCTGAAAAATCTGGAGGTTTATAGATTAGTTTAAAAAGCGGGAGGGAGTGTGAGAAATCGGGAAGCTCCCGCCTAAATCGGGAGGTATGGCAGCCCTAGCCACGAATGTGAGTTCTTGGAGGGCAATAGGAGGATTAATTCTGTTTGAGACTGCTCTTCCAACGAAATCCCACATGTGCTCAATGAGATTCATATCTGGCGAATTTTCTGGCCACGGTAATCTTTGAATATTCTGAATTTCTAGTGCATTTTGTACCCTTCTCGTTTAATGGGGCCAATGGGGAAACAGGAAAACAGAAGCGTTGTCACCTTTCTAGTGATGCCAAGGAAATAGTTCTAAACGTTTATTCTGGTGAGTAATTATAATAATTATTCCCATAATATGAATCCAGGAAAAAAAGCCGGGGGAAAAACATTTTGTGCATGTAACATTATTAGACGGAAAGCTGGCGACACAAAGTCAAAATTTTGTTATTTACAGTTTCGATTGTTACCAACATAGCGAGAGGCAGGCAGTCAGAAGTCACCCTGGAAGTATAAAGTAAGGGTAAGGGGTTAAACATGCAATTTTTTCGCAAATAAGTGATAAGGTACAGCTTTGAAAATTTGCAGTATTATCGGAGATAGTATAAGAAAGTAGGGGAAAAATGGTGTATACATAAAGAGTTTCAGTATTTTGTATCAGAGCTTTAATACTCGATAGAACTTTTAAAATTAATACAAAAAGTTTACATAAATTTTGCCATTTTCTAGTTACTTGACTTTTTATTGTTCAATGTATACCTACTAATTTTTCATCGAATTTATTACAGGTAATTTTTTGAAATTTAAATTATCATTGCCAAACAATTTATGTTTCTATTAATTAACAGATCACCCGTTTTAAGAATGTACAGTAATAATTTAATTTCAACATTGTAATTAATCGGAAACCTTTTTGTTTAAAGAAGTATAGAAACTAATATTTTTATTAAAAAATACAGTTAAAGAAAAATTATAATCATTTTATTCCTTAAATATGTATTACAAGCCACTACATCAAAACGATGTCCGTAATGGGAATGTGTAAATTAAATGCAAAATTTAGAAAATCTTGTATCTATAAAACTAATTATAAATATTCCTGGAATGTATAATCCCTTGCTCCAGGATGAATTTATTTGTGTGATTATAGCAACATAATTTGATTATGTATGTATTTTAATAGGCTCTGGCGTGTAAATAAATAAAGTAATTAGCATGGGTACACATTAAGGGTATAAGATTATCAAGAAGATTATCCTTATACAGGAAAAACAAATGGGTTTAGTATTATAATTTAATTGGTACTTAATAAATAAAAGATTACAAGTACCTATCATCTTGGAAATCTCGAAGTAAGTTGACTAATTTTGACTAACCTACAGGGTGATATTTTTCTGACAGCTACACTTTTCATCCGATATTAATGCTAATTTATTTAATTAATTAAGAAAAGTGTATCTATGTATGTTTTTAATCTACATTATTTATCGATGAAGAATGTCATCAATTTAAAGGTTTTTCTTCAATTGAACTATTCCAGTAATAATTATTTTTTACAAATTTATAGTCAAAGTAAATCACTTTCTTATAAAAATATTGTTTTCCAAATAACAAAAAAAAGACACTGATATTACTAGGGTTAAGAAAATAAAGTGGACGGGATAACAACTGTTAAAATACCCATTTTTTCTGTTATTCGCAATTAAATTCTTGGATGAATTAAAAAAATCTGATTTTCAATTTCAGATATTCCATCAAGCACAAACGTATCAGTGGAGTACTATAAAAAAATAAAGATTTTACAAGTTATTTTTTTAAGCTTCGTATTTTTTTTATTTTTCTTTTTTAATTTGTGATTGAGAGTGGTATTAAAAAAAATAATTTATTTACTCATACGATAGCACGCCGATGACGTCGAGTTTGATGACGATATGGAAGGAGATAGTTAGGATTAATTAGTATAAGTATTCGATTTTGAAGATATATATTGTGATAGAGTGTAAATAAAAATTATCTCCTTGTTATTCCATAAAAAAATTAATGTCTTCCTAATTGACTTCTGACAGAGTACTGAGATATTTTAAAATAATGTTGATAAATTCAGAAGTGAACTGGATGGAATAAACTATAAAATACGAGATATAATGATGAATCGAGTGGAGCACCGGCACTCTCACTATTGCTAATATCTCCGTTATTCTTTCACCTAGCTTTCTGACGATTTGCAAGTAATTTTATTTTGAATTACAGAATAAGAATACAAATTGTCAGAAGTGTACCTAGTGACATCATTGTTGCTAAATTTTTCGCAACATGAGCGCCTTCTGACGACTCTTTCTCTTCCACCTAGACTTCTGACAATTTTTCCCTACTTATACTATCTCCGATAACACTGCAAATTTTCAGAGCTGTACCTTATCACTTAATATGCGAAAAAATTGCATGTTTAACCCCCTACCTTTACTTTATACCTCCAGGGTGACTTCTGACTGCCCGCCTCTTGCTATGTTAGTAACAATAACAAAATTTTGACTTTACCGAGTCATCCCTACTCTTAGACTATATACACATAGTTTATACGGGGTTTAACGAAAAATGGCGCCCACAAACAGTATTTTCAGATTATCTGCTTTCATTTTTTTTATGAAAATAGTTTTGTAACAAATTAAACTAGAGAACATTTTCTACAATTTATGTAGTTACCTTTTTTTGTAAAATGAATAGTTTTAGCGCAAGAGCGAACCAAAGTCTACTATTCAGTATATCTATGTCAAAATTGAACAATAATTGGTTATGATTAAAAACTGTAATAAAAAAGTGAAGATATTCACAATTTGATTTTCTGCATTAGTTTTAGTACAAATTAAAAGAATTTTGACTAAAAACTGCGATTTAAGTAGTATTTTTATAAATAATTTGATAAAATAAATTCCTGTTTTTTATTTAATCGCATTCAAAATTTGCATGTGCCCTTAAAATTAAATTTAAAACAATTTTTATTCTTTAAAATTTTTTGATTTATTTTAATTTAAAGTCGCTTTTGCAAAAAAAATTGTTTTTTCATTTTTCATAAAGACGAAGCCAAGGAGAATGCAAAAATTTTGTAAGAGTGTACATGTCATGATATTTACTATTACCAATTTAGCACAAATTTTGAATGCGATTTATTCAAATTATTAATGAAAAACTACTTAAAACGCAGTTTTTTAGTGAAAAGTGAAAATTCTTTTAATTTTTACTAAAACAAATTCAGAAAATTAAAATACTGAAATCTTTACCTTTTTATTACAGTTTTTAATCATAAACAATTGTTCAATTTGGATGAGATATACTCAGTGGTAAACTTTGGGGCGCTCTTGCGTTAAAACTATTCATTTTACAAGAAAGAGGTAACCACATAATTGTAGGAAATTTTCTCTAGTTTAATAGGTAATATTTTCAAAAAACTGTTTTTGGGCGCGAGCGGCAAAGATACGAGGCCGCAAGTTGGAAAATCCAAAACAACACGTCGAAATCTATAAAAATCCAAATTATCTAAATATATTGGATTTTAACACTGAGTCTTATTTACAGGTCTAAAAAATGAATTGTCTTCCTTCCTTAAAAGAGATTGTTTTTTTGACAAAAGTACCTCAGTCAATTGTATACAAAATTTTACAGGAAGGGGCACCACCTAGAAAGGTGCGACAATATTCTGGTTCATCTCGTTCCATTCTACAGTTTCTTTTAGAACCGATTAGGGAAACAATTTATGAAATGTTCTCTGTAAATAATTTTCCTACTTTGAACACGTTATTTTTACGTCTAAAACAAAAAACGTTAATAGAAGATTGCCATAAAACGACATTATGGAGATTTTTAAAATCCAACGGCTTTAAATTTAAATTAATAAAAGGCAAACAATTATGGAATCCAGCCGTTTAGTTAAATCAAGAATAGAATATCTTGATTTAATTACAAAGTATCGACGAGAGGACAGAAACATTCATTTTTTAGATGAAACCTGGTTTGACACTCACGGCATCATAAAAAAATGTTGGACTGATGGAAGTTTAAAATGTAATGTAGACACTTCTCCATCTCGAAGAAAAAGAATATGTATTTTACACATTGTGGTGGAGAATCAGGTTGGGTAGAAGGAGCTCTCTTGCTGCCTGCAAAGGATATACGGGATAGTAGTTTGGACTACCACCAGGACATAGAAAGTACTCTTTTTGAAAAATGGTTTGAGAGTACGTTATTACCAAAACTAAATGAAAATAGCGTAATAGTTTTAGATAATGCCCCGTACCATTCTCGGTTGGTACGAAAAAAACCAAATACCAATTCTACGAAATCAGTGATTCAGGACTTTCTGATGGAGAATGATATATTTTTTGAAGAAAACTGCACAAAAAACAGTTAATAGAACTTTTACACTTGGTTGATTTTTAACCTGAATATGTTATCGACACCATAGCAATAAAACACGGTTTAAAAGTTTTACGTTTACCACTGTATTTTGAACCACATAGAATTATTATGGTCACAGTTAAAAAATTATTCTCAAGCAAATAACTCTTCTCCTAGGTCCACTTCTTCTGTAAGTGATGTAGTAAGAAATGCATTTAACTGTATAACTGTTGAAAACTGGAAAAACGCTATTCAACATGTTAAAAAAATTGAAGAGAAATATATGAGATTTAACAATACAATTCAAAAAATTGAAATAAATTTGGATGATACTGATGATGATAGTAATATTATTTCAGAACATGAAATTAGTGACTGAAAGTGATTTAGATATATGGACGTTTTTAAATTCATTTACCTACATTTCCACAAAATAAATCTAGTGAAACATATTCTTTTTAAATTAATACTTAATAATTTTAGTCAGTTTCAATTTTCAATATATATTTTTAGTTGAACATGTTGTGTTTGGAAATAAAACCTTTGTTATTTTTTTTTATTTTAATACAAGTTCTCAGAGTGTTATATTTTTTATGTATTTTAAATGTTATTAAAAATCCTATGTACATATTGTAAATAAAGTATTTTTGTAATGAATGCAATTTAGACCGCAAAATGATCATTGCATTGTAGAAATAAAATTTTAAAAATTATCTTTAACATTTGAACAAATAACACTCAACCTAAGCCGGCTCTGATCAGCATGTTGGCGAACGATTCAAGAGGTTGCCAGATCATTGCGCTTTCTAGATTATCTTGCAACGGACTATACATGTTGCAGACTGTTTAAAATTTAAAGAATCCTCAAGCGTTTAAGTATTTAATTTGCTCTACTAAGTTAGAAAAAATAGTTTTCTCAACTTTGTTAAAACTTATTTATGTTTGAATTCATATTAGAAAGTAATCATGCTCTATATAGAATTTTTTACAGGTTCTTGAAAGTATTCCCTACATCCTCACTATATTTGATGAACCACACCAAATAACCCAAATTTTTAACACTTCTTTTTCTATAAAGAATGATGCTGTTATAGCAAAAGCTTTAAGTATTTTGCCCAAAATTATATGCTGTTTAAGTTCAAGCTTCATAAGAAGTGTGAATTTTACAGAGAAAGACAGGTTTTTAAAATCTGATATTTTCTGTAAGAAATGTGATTGTGGGGGAATTGAAGATACACAGACGTGTTTGAAAATGATAGAAACTACGTTTGAAGAAGATACAGTTTGTATTGATTTCCCAAAAATTGAAGTAGGACAAACTATCATTGCCTCAATCTTGAAACATGTTTTATTTTATTTATCATCAACTACGGTAGAATTAAAAGTAGCTGCTCTTGGAACATTGCCTTATTTATCAAGCCATGTCCTCCAGTTTCATTCGATAAATATAACTCAAATTTGGAGTGAACTTGGTTGTGATCAAAACAAAGATGTAAGAAAAAAGTTTTCCGAAATTATTGGACCAACCATAAAATTTTGCCAGGTAAAATTTAAGAGCCTTTTTACATAATAAAAAGTCTTTACCACAGTAGAAAAAATAATTTATTATGTAGGACATAGGGTTCCTAGTTTCGTCCAATGACCATCATCAGGCCTAAAAGAAAACAATATAAGTGAAATGAACAATGTACGTAATAATAAAAATTCTAAATTCAGACAATAATTCGAGTCAATAATATATAGTTAAATTTTTGTAACAGAATTCATTATTTAAATAATAATACTCTCCCTAATTCGCCCCCTTATGAGTGAATTTTAACCCCAAAAGCTGAGCTTGTGCGGGGAAAGGGACGGATATTATTATTATATGCTGTGGCGCTTCGGGGCGACTTAAAACCTCACCCACCATCAAATAAGTTCTATTCATTAGATTATATTAACAATAAATTTATTATAATAAATGAAATATGAAACAAAGTATTTTAATGGTCATAAATAACAAAGTTATCGAGAAGGTTAATCTATTTATTAATATGGAGGCGAGTTTTGTGTATGCCCCTGATCATTCTCAAATTAGTAATAATATTGTGATTTGTGCTATTGCATTGTTTTGAAACTTTTTCTGCAAATTAGAACAGCAACAGATTTTGTTAAAAGCGTTTATCAAAGTAGACAGATAAGAGGACCCCAATGGGGCAAGTAAATATCGAGATCGATATTTATAGGTTTAATCATAAACATTTAAGTTTTATGTTATACCTTTTTGGAATAAAGAAATACCTAGTGTAAATAATTTAATTGTATCCTTTTTCACCAAAGGGTTAGTGAAAGTATTGGGGTGCAAGTAACCAACAACTGTTGCGATTAGAGGTAAATAACTTGGATTTCTGTTATATTCAAGTCACTGTATACAATTACCAGCTGTGTCATGACGAAAGGTGAATAGTTCCACTTAGATTGGGAAAATGAATCAGAAAAGTAGAGATGTGTCATTCATTAATGACCAGTTCAAAAAAAAGAACGAATCTTTCTGAAGACTTGTGATCATTCTTCATTACCCTATCGTTCATATGACCTATATGATTGTAAGATTTATGCACTTATGAATTGAATGAACTGAAGAGCTATTTTTTACAGATTGACTTGTGATTGAACATGCCATTTTTTTATTTTTTGCAGAAAGTAAATAAAAATACAAAAAATCAAATCACCTCATTTATCATAGGTTATAGTCATAATCATAAATCAGTTAATCTGTATCGAAAGAGACTGTAACCATAACCGAATGTGACCCGGTTCCTAGTTCATAAAAAGAGCTGGGTCTTACATCAGTCGTCAAAATTCGCCGGGTCTTTCCATCACTACTGAAAAGGTGAAGATTAGTTTGGTAGCTATCCTTAAACTAGTTATGGAGAAGGTTAAGATGTTTATATACTAATATCCTAACTTTCTCTATAGGACTATTTGCACCGCTAGTCGTTAAAAAATTAGCCAAGCTTAAACTGACATTTTTCCATTAACAATGTCATTTTAAGCAAATGGCCCTTAGTTATATATATAATCATTAAAATAATTTTCTTTATATTTCACTTATTATACCGGGTGTTTTAGTTTTATAGTTTTGTGGGGAAAAAAATTTGGCTAAAATCGTTTTTTATAGCTAACCATAATATGGCCAACTTTTTTTTTCGCCCAGCAAAATTTTCTAGTAGCTGTTACTCAAAAAGAAAAGTCCAATAAAAAAATATTTTTATCAAAAGTTTCTTATTTTTTTATGTACTTTAAGAATATGTAAAAAAATGGGATTCTCATTTAAAAAAACAAAGTCCACCTCGATATTGCCATATTATGATCAGCTATAAAAAAAATTAATTTAGCCAAAATGTTTCCCCCAAAAAACTATAAAACTTTTGTCTGAAACTTTTTTCTAAAATGCATATTTTCGGCGGTATTTAACTGTAACACTTTAATTTGAACACCCGGTATATACAGGGTGTTTCTAAATGCATGCGACAAAATTCAGGACGTGATTGCTCGTATGAAATTAAGATGGGTCTTTCCTATAACAAAATTTCCTCAGTCCACCCCTTTCCGAGATATCACCCTTAAAAGGTGGTGACTAAAATTGAGTTTTTATTTTTTTTTTCTAAAATTTCAGTAAAGCTAGAAACTTGAAATTTTGTAATTTTCGTGCACTCGCAAAGGACTAACCACGGGTATTTTTTTAATATTCCTGTTTCATTATAGGGGGGTGAAATTAATTTTATTTCATAAAACTTCATCTCGAAAAAAGGTTTTGATATGAAATAAAGTAAGGGTTGCTAATTTCACCCCCCTATAATGTAACAGGAATATTGAAAAAATACAAATTTCCAGCTTTACTGAAATTTTAGAAAAAAAAAAGAAACTCAATTTTAGTCACCACCTTTTAAGGGTGATATCTCGGAAAGGGGTGGGCTGAGGAAATTTTGTTAAAGGAAAGACCCATCTTAATTTCATACGAGCAATCACCTCCTGAATTTTGTCGCATGAATTTAGAAACACCCTGTATATTGTTATATATTGTTAATTTAATTTCTAATGTCTTATGTTTAATATAATTTATTTAAATAATTAAATCTAATTCTTTGAATTTTGAATTTTTGGTATGACGTACTGATATAGAAACACCCTGAATATCAATTTTTAAGACTCAAAGACGCTGGTTCGGCTCTAAAAACAATTTACAAATATTTTATATCAAGTTTAATAATAATAAAAAAGAAATAAATTATCAAATTTTTCAGTCTTCTCATCTCAATTTCTTGGCTTACTCAATCATCTGTGCCTTTGTCCTTGTCTCAGCTTTACCTATCTTTCAATGTCTTTACCTCTACTTACCAGCTCCTTCTCTTAACTCTCCTTCCTAATAAACAAAATTCTATTTACCTTTTTAATTCAATCTCTTTATTTTACTTCTGCATCTCAACAATTCTTCATAAATATAATTTCTATAAATTGTAACGAATATTCTCTAAGCCGTTCCTGCATTCCTGCTCTTAGAAACAACAAACATGACCATGACTGCAAGACGGAAACTGAATCATCCCGATCAGCAGTTTCTGCAATATATTTGAAAATAGACATAACAGCATTCAGCCACATTTCAATACACACATATAATCTTAATTTTTTGTGTTATTTTAAAGTGAATAAAAGGTTACATACAAATTAAGATCTGATTATTGAGGATACCTACATCCATGCTCTGTCACAAAATCTATTTTATTTAAATTCTAACAAATTTCTTATTTTATCTGACTTTTTCCTGACAATTAATTCCTATCACAAATTCCAAAATCCACAACTTCTCGACATTCTGATTGTTGATGGCTACTGGCTGAAATTATCTGCCCTAAGCCCTTTTTTTATTTCTATTGTGATAAGGACTGAACTTATCTCGATCCATTATGGATTATTTGTGCAATGGATAACTTATTACTTATTCTTTTACATAATTGATTTCAAACACTGTTGTTTATTTTTAGGAAACCAGCTGTTTATTGAAAGAAATAAGAAACGAAATATTGACAGTATTTTTTGCAGCCCTCCTCAATCATACTAAAAAATCTTTAAAGTTTTCAGATTTTGAATTGCAAGATTCAATCTTAAGTACTATCAATGCAATTACTGATATAAAAGCAGAGTATATCATAGCAGAAACAATGAGAATACTCTTTTATCTCATAATGATTCCTACCTCAAAATTTTCTCTAATTGCCGTTAACAAATGTTTCAAACTTGCTGAAAATAACGATACTAGTACTACAACAATTTACTGCCAAAACAAAAAGGAACTGTGCGAACTCATCGCTCATTTGTGTTGCATAAATCAGGCATTAATTAACTATTCTTTATCGACTTCTTTAGAAAAGGTATCATTGATGTTAGGCTTCTATGGATCTAAAGATTTTGTTAATCAAGAAAGTAATTACCTTTTACCATTCTTTATTTCGAAAATTGTCAAAATGCCATCAGTTATAAAATTGGTCGAAGAATCTGCAACGATGATGGAAATGGAAGTGTCATATATGTTGTCTCTGAAATATGGCTATATTTTTATTCACGTTTTTTTGGAGGATGTGCCTAAAGAGGATCTCAAAAAGTGTATGATGTTTTTGGAAAAAGCCACTGGTACAAGTGGAATTTCACTTAGAAAAAGAAATTTTAGGGTAGGTCTTAGACAGTGAATTTTGTTTATTATCTGTTTACTAGGTCTGTTCCAACAACGATCAGAAACCGGTCACCGACACCATGATTCTGCGCAGTATGTAATTTTAAGGTCCAAATAGTCTAATGCGCAGAATCCTGGTGTCAGTGACTGGTTTCTGATCGTTGTTGGAACAGACCGAGTGTTGCTTGTTTTCAATTTACTATTGCCGCGATTGAATATCCACATCAGATGCATTTTTTTTTCATCTCGATCGTTTGTCTATCCTCATCGGACACATTTACTGCATCTGCATTTGTTTATCCCAGATGTAGTTGTCCAGATTACATTTTTTACATCTCGATTTGAAATGAGATGTGAATGTTCGTTCTATGCCAGAAAGTAGGTGTTCTGTGAAGCCAAGATTATTGATTTATCCTTTATTTATGCTAGCATGAATATAAAAGTGATTAGTGTGTTTAATTTTTGTTTAAAATATAAATTTAGGTTGATTTCCAGTCTCAAAAGTCAAATTTAGAGTATATAAACTTTTAACTTGTCATTGTCATTTTATCACGTGACAAATAAAGTCTATAGCGTTTGTTTATTACATCTACATTCAGATTTAATCCTCTATCACGTGATAAAAAATTCACAACATCTCAGATGCATCCGATGTAGATAATCAAACGCGGCATATGTGTATAATAGTTGTATTTTTTTTTTAATATAATTTCTACCATAAATACAAATAGTAAAATATAAAAAAATATGTGCATATACAGGGTGACAAAAATTTAATGAAACACTATGGGGCTTTCGTTAACTGTTATAGGTACAAAGTTGATTAAATAGAAATAATATGCGTATTTCCAAGAAGAATTTATTGGTTTTTCAAAATTAAAATAAGGTCTGGTATTTGAGATATTTTGGCAAAATCAAAATTGGCGATTTTACTTTTCTTTAATTAACACTTTTACTAAGCTTTTTTGTTGAAGTAAGGCTATTGATTATGTCATATAGAAAGGAACGATCACTTTGTATCCCATGAATCGGTCAAATGGCCATTAAAAATAAAAAACCGCGGAGAGCTATTAAATTAGAGGGTGAAAATTATAGATAGGGATGAAGATGCAACCCTTACAGTTTTTAGATTATATCTCGAAAATGAAGCAAAATTCAGGTATAGTTAATAGAAAAGAATCTGATTTCGAAATTCGAATTTAAAAAAGCAATATATCCACTTTTTGTTTTATTTTACCATTTTGCCTTTTTTGCATTTTTTGAGCAGACAGGTATAGGCATTGCTTCACATAAAAAAAGTAGATTAAATTTCTTTTAACGACCCTTTCAGTCCACATTTGTGGAAAGCATTTTCAATCAACCAGGCATCGCAACCTAATTTGTCTGAAGAAGGGATGCGCGTTAATATCGAATTTCAATTGTCAACGGCTACTGTAACTGTTAAAGAGAGATGCAAACAATAGCGGTGTTGTCGGGGGGCGATTAGTGGATGATAATATTTTCTTGAATTTGTGTTTTTTTGTGAAGCGTGCAGATTTTGAGTTATATTTTATTTTAATTTGTTTGTAGTGTTTTCTTTTGAGTAGTGACTTACTTGTGTAAAAATGCCGAAACATTTAAGTAGTCAAGCAAAGGAAATAATATTTCATCTATTCAAATATTTTATGGAAAAAAATGTTCCTCGGCTACAAATAGTTTTGAAAAAAAAACAACGATGATGGTGAAACTTATAGACAATGTGTTGTGAATGATGATCCCAAAACTCTCACTGAAATTAAAGAACAAGTTGCTGAAGCTACAGAATACTCGGTAAAAACAATTGAACGAATAATTATAGAAGGTGATCAGATATCAAAAGGTGAAAATTCTACGTCGACCATACCTAAATAATAAAGTCCAAAAAAGCGCAGAACATCAAGTGTAACAGATATTCCATCCTATAATACAATATTGGAACAATCAGAGATGTAGTTTATAGATTTCACGAAACAGAAGGTATGCGCGTAACAGTCAAAACTCTTAGTGAAAAATTAAGAAAGGAAATTGAGTGGAAAGGGAGCTACACATCATTAAGAATTATTTAAAAAAAAATGGATTCAAGTGACGAAATACGCGAAACAACAGGCAGGTTCTAATAGAACGGCTTGACATCAGGGAAAAAAGAATAGATTATATTAAAAAAATTAGATATTTTCGTTCTCAAAACCGTCCCTTTGTATATATTAATTAAACTTACATACATCATCACATAATTGGGGTGACGATAATGCAAAAGGTTTATTTTCCACCATTTCGAAAGGAAAGAGACTTATTATAGGTTATGCTGGTGGTAACATGGGCTTTATACCTAGCTGTTTATGAATGTTTGTGTCTGGGGCCAGATATTGAATTTCAACCTTCCTTATTACGACCACAGCTGTGCACATTAATCAAACAGCATAAAAATAGATTCAAGCAATACAAATTTGATAGATTATTCTACGAACACGGTCATACAGTTGTGAGATTACCACCATACCACCCAGACTTAAATCCAATAGAAATGATCTGGGCTGTAGTAAAAAATAATGTCGCTATAAAGAATATTCATTTTAAATTAGCACATGTACAAATGTTAGCTGAAATTGAATTTAAATCAGTAACCCAAGAAGACTGGAAAAAAAGATATGCACATGTAATAGCTGTCGAAGATAAATATTTATCGCGAAATTATAATGGATGACGTTGTAATTCCTACAGTTATTATTAATGTTAATGAAGACAGCAGTCATAGTTCTAGTGATAGTGATTATTTTGATGACGATTTTTTAGAACTCTGTTAATTTGTTTATATTTATTTTGTTTATATTTATTTTGTTTGATAGTAGTGTTATAGTAACAAGGAATAGAGGTTAGTATAAATTCATATTTTTAAAAAATCTTCGTCTTATTTTAATATTTGTATGCTGATGACTTTCACCACTTCTACTTCACCCTCACATTTTGTTAAAATATTAAAGATATCAAGTGCAAAATCACCATTTTTTTTTACCCAATAAATTTTTTTAACACAATACATTTTAGCTCATAGATAACAAATAAATTTTAACAAATTCTGTAGTGCTTAAAAACCTATTTACATAATTGCGTTTGATCCATTGTGTAGGTACTCTGGTATTTCCTATAATACCAACAAATGATAGCCACTGTTGATAAAACATTCTTAGAAACGAGGGCGGACTCGATTTGACCGTTATTAAGAATTAAAATTTTAGGTAATTTTCTTAAAATTTTGTGATTCATCTGACCGTGACCGTTTTAAAAATCCTAGAAAATTTATTTTAAGCGAAAGTAGTATACGCTACTGAGCTTTAATAGTAGCCATTAAGATCGTTTGGAGGTGTGTCAGCAGTGCGCAAACTTTACCCCACTACTGACAAATTAGGATGCGATGTCTGTATATACCTATCAAATTTCTGTAATATGATTTATATTTTACAATGGACTCAAAATGGCATAATTCATAAAAATCATGGTTGCCGTTTTGCTATCGCTTAAACGAAGAAGTTTAGACATTTTATGAATAGCGAACGTTCTAGTGTGTTAAATGGTAATCAAAACATTTGAATTTGAATAGCAGATATTTTAGTGGATAACACCTATTTGTGAAAAACTGGTTGGTTTGCTAGATAAGAACATAATTTAATATGTGATTGTATACTTCAAACAGATTTTGTAACTGGAAACGTAAATTTGGCGTGTACAATTTTATGTACCCAAAGGTGGACAAAAAGCTACTAATTGCCATTATGATTTTTATATTTCCATATTTGCAGTTATAGTCAATCAAATATTGGGGGTAAATACATATCTCGACTTACTACGACGTCTAACCGATGATAAAATTTTGATGATGTTACTAGCAGATGATGAGTCTGTAGAAGATGATTTTTCTGAGGAATGAGATGATATAGCTGAATTCAGTAACAAGGTGACTCCGCCAATTCAGATAATCCCATAGAGAAGAAATAGAGCGGAAAGCTGATTTGAAGGAATAGAGAGCAAACTAACAAACACCTTGTTTTGCAACAAGTACAACCGGACTGGCAAAAAAAAAATTGAATGAAAATCTAACGTAACTTATCAGACTCTGCTAATTATATGACATAAGGCTGAAGTCTCTGATGTACATGATGTGTCATCCCCGATATATTTCAAAAAGTATATAGTGTTTAAATAAAAAAATCTTGCAAGTACGATACTGTTCCATTTTTACTTAAAAAAAATATTTAAATACAGAAAACTTGAAATGTTAAATATATATAATCAGAAAATAAAAAATTATTTAGACTATTTAAAACAAACATTTGTTGAGAATTGCTTAAAATGGAGTTCAATATATAATATAATTCTTCTAGTAATTTTTACTGATGCCCTTCCTATGGGACCTCAGTATTGCATTCGTGCAGACGAAAAAATTTCCTTACCCCTATTTTTTAAAACTTTTTTTCATTTTTCCGATCATCTGAGTCCGAAAATGCAAAAAAAATAATTATGTGTATGTATGCCGGCACGATAACTCTAGAACGAAAGTTCTGATTGACTTGCGGTTTTAATTTTCTTGAATAATTACTTCTAACTTAGAACCCTATTGATTTTCAGAATTTTCGGTTCATCCTAACTACTTTAATATCAATTTTTTTTAAATCCGCCCATGCATTTCTTACGTGACAATTTTAGGAATTTCAATTATTTCTAATGTCAACATTCCTAACATTCTTAAAATTCCATAAATTGCAAACATTCTCTAACGACCTGTCAAACAACAGCTGTTGAAATTTTTAAGGCAGGTTGCGACCTTCATACTTGCAACCATGGCCATTTGGAGGCTATTTTTATTCGAAATTAGTAGCCAAGCCTGCCAATTTATGAAAAATATATAAGCAATTTCTTAAAAATGACTTTTTATGGTGGTGCTAACTTAAGCGAACGACTATTTCGCCCCTAGACACAAAAACT